CCGGCCGGCTCGGCCTGGCCCTGGCCGTGTCCCTGCCGGTGACGGTGCCGTCCCCCAGCGCCGCGGCGGGCGCCGCTGTCTGTCTGCCTGCGGCCGGGCCGGGCCCCGGTCGCTGCCCCGGAGGAGGAGCTGCCGCCCCGCCGGGCCCGGGTGTGTGTCCGCATCGCCTCCGGACGCGGGGGGGGCGCACCGGGGCTGCGGTCTGCCTGCTCACAACGCAAAACCAGTAAACATCCTGAATTACGCCTTTAAAATCCAAGGCATCTTTAAACTCGTTCATAATCTCGTTTAAAAGCCACTAGAAAGTATTATTTTATACTTCTGTTCATTAATACACCTCCATTAACAGTTACAGTCTCAGAGAAATTCTGATGCTGTGAAGTTTCACATTTAACAATCTCATAAATCTCATTAAAAACAGCCTCCTAAGACACAAATTGGTCTTACTGCTGCAGTTGCTATGTGAGCGATATAACGCTCACTCAGGTGTGGAACTGACAAGCCAACATGTTTTTTAACTAAATTTGCAAAGGGCTTTGTGTGGCAGAAGGAGCTGCAGCTCAGGATCTGCTGCCCCGTGGCTGTGCTTGGGGTTTGAAGATGTTGTAGATCTGGGGGTACCCAAAGTGCTGCTGGAGCAGGTGGCACCACTCGTTTAAAGCTCGACTTGTGCTTCCTGGTTGTGAATGCAATGAACTTTGATGTTAATAGAGCATGGAAAGCTTTCTTTGATACACCAAGTCCAAATAGCTTTTAATTATTAACTGGTGTTAATAGGTGTTCTTTTTCTTCTGATGCAATTAAGTGTCTATGATAAGAGAACAGCTTTCACCTTTTGTATGTAAGTATGTAATTAACCTTAATACAAACAGCCCTTGTGACAATGGGGATAACTCTTTGGGCAAAGGTACTTCGCTGGTCACGTGCACAGAGGTACTTCGTGCATCGAGGATTGAACTTTCTGGGGTTTTTTTTTGTTTTAGTGCCCAGCAGTTTCAGGTAGTTCAACAAGACGTTGCCAGCATTAGCATTTTAAAATGCCAGTTATGCCTATTCTTAAAGGTTACAGCCCTGCAGGTGCTTGTCCTGGCTGAGGTCAGGCAGTCGGGCTGTAGTTGTCACCATGTGGGCTGTCTGCAGGCGGTGGTACCCCCAGGCTCCCATCTCTGCTTCCAGAGCTGCCTCTTGTACCCCCCATGTCCGTGTTTGGCGGCTGCAGGGACTGCGCTTTACAGGTGTGCATCTGCACTGGTAACAGGCTATGTGTAAAAAACCAATTCCGAATAGAAAAACCACACCCAAACCCTCTCTTTCAGTGGTTAATGCTGCACTGGCTGCAAATTATCAGGGCCTGATTATACCTCCTTCTTTCTCAAATCTTTGGAACCTCGGGAGTGGGGCACAAAGAATAAGTCTCTTTAGCCCGTGAACGTCCTTATCTGAGCAGCGCCAGAACAATCTGCTGGGGAAACGGAAAACGAATTACTGTCTCATTTCTTATCACTAATATGGGGTAGTCTGGGAGCTGAATTAGTCCCGGGACACTTAGAGACAAGGTCTAGGTCTTGGTTTCAGGTTGTGTGTCAGCAGCTTCTGGTTGCCCTCAGGTGATAACGGCAACCTTTGGTACAGCTGTAGTGGGCGATTGCTGCCTGTCCCGGCAGGGATGTGTTTAGCTGCAGCGACTGCTGTGTGCTTCCTCCTGTGTCTGTGCTGGAGCTGGCAAACCTCAGTATTCTGTACTCAGAACCATCTTTACCTTCTTTGTGTGGGGGCATTTGTTTCTCCTGGACAGTACAATCAGCAGCATCAACTCAACACTTCATTTTCTTGCTGTGATTAGTGAAAGCTGAGACCATAGCACTCCCGCAGGCGGGGGCCGATCTGAGGGGGTGACCTCTGGGAGCAGTCAGCTCAGGAAGCAGCGAGGATGGTGCAGAACCATCAGTATTGCACACTGTTGGTGCCTCTCACAGCCCCAGGTCTGAAGAAGAGCAGGACAGTGTGGGTGCTGTGCGGGGCCCTGGCTGGTACCGTGTCTGCGAGGGAAGGGCCACCCTCCTGGCACACAAATGCTGGTGGCCCAGCCCTAGAGCCCATTCAGGCGTGGTGGCAAAACCTGACGCTATCAGCCCTTGGGACCAGAACAGAGCTCCGCTTGCCTGGTTCCCTCTCAGAGCAGGAGTCGGTCTGAGTTTTAGATCCCTTAGTTGTGCTTGTAGCTAATAGTCCTATTTCACCAGGAGTCTGTCGTCTCTGTGGGTGTATGTCTAGTCAGGTAAGGGATCTACTTAAAAAAAGAAACTTGAAAAAGGTTTTGGTTATACCCTCTCCCTTTCCCCTCACCAGAAGCAACCGAGATCATGAGGCTTTCCCTGTTAACACCAAGGGGCTGCCTGGTGCATCCATGGCAGTCAGCTTCAGGGGGCTCTAGGTTTTACCTTTGGTTGAGTATGGCCTCTAGGAACAGCTACAGAGCAAGGCAGAGGCTTTTTTTTTTCTGGGATAGGAGCAGGAATGTACAGAACCCACGGCTTTCTTCGTTCTTAGGGCAAAGGTTTTTCTGCTGCTTGATCTGTTTTTTCCAGGAGGGAGGGGAGAGTGAGGGATTGGAGAAAACAACCCTCCTCCTCTTCTTGCATAGTTTACTTCATTAAATCATCATCCATCAAGCTGATAGTGTACTTGCTGAGGTCTCGTTCTGCACTGGCGTGCTAAGGCAGCAGAGCACAGAAATGGGAGCAGATTCTGAGCGAGTTGGGATCCTGCTCTCATCCTCGCATGGAAATAGTAAGGTGCCTGTGTAGCCTGCTCTGCCAGCGCTGTTCTCCACCAGCAGCGAGCTCTGACGGTGAGTTACAGCTTTAACTCTGGCCGATTAGGCACTTTTCCACCCAGGAGTGCCCTGTGCCGCAGGGTTGGTGTGGCGCCGGGGCTTGGGGACCAGGAGTCCAGCGGCAGAGACCCTCCTTGGCGCGGAAGGTGCAGAATCAGGGCTGGCTCCATCGCCCCCCATCTCTGTCGTGCTGCTGTGGGCTCCCCCAGCAGATCGGGGTGGTCACCCCCAGGCTTGCTGCCAGACCAGCGCCTGCCAGTGTGGCCTCGGGACTCTCCACTGAGCTGCTTCTTTCTCTGGTCGCTTCTCTGTTACATCTCTTGTTCTTCTGGGAGTGCGGACGGGTGTTCTGCCTGGAGGCATGCTATAATTTTACCCTTATTTCCGAGGGGATTTCACAAGCAGCTGGATTTCTCTGTGTGTTTGTTTCTCTTGCCCATTCCCACCCTGCCCGAGCAGATGCAGGCAGCCTCCCTGGATCATGGTGAGGGGTTCTCACCACCCTGGCACGGCGCTGGCAGTAGCCCAGTAGCCCAGCCTGTGCAACCCTGGTTCCCTGAGGAGGAGCTGCCAAAAGGGAAGGGTGTGCTGGTGATCAGGGAAACCGTGCTCAAAAGAGGAGGAAATACAGTAACTCTCAGCCTGGGGAGTGCTGGAAATTATGCGAGAGCATGAGAAGCAGTGGTAGAGAGTGTCTCGTGTCCATTTTTAGGAAGTACTTAATAAGAGGAGGTGTTCACAGTATCCTCTTCTCAAGGTTGCCCTTGCTTACACGGGAGGACTTCTTTTCACCACTTTACGGCTGGGGAAAGCATGGTAAAGGGCAGATGCTTGACATTTATCGATGTGCAGCCACGGTCATGGTGAACAGCTGTGTCCTTGGTGGCTCAGGTCATGCGTGCTGTGGATTGCAGTGCCGTCGCTTCTGCGGCGGGCAGTGCTGCTATTGTAGGTGACACTGCGAGGCACGCTCCTTCCCTGGCATTTATAAAGCACGGCTTGTGTCCCGCCGTGGTCACAGAGTAAACCAGAGCTTGCAAACGCAGAAGCCCTGACCTCTTACAGCCCAAGCTGTTGCTGATGATTCCTCTTTGTCCTCTTTCCTGGCCATTTCTTCCTTTTGCCTCTTCCCACAAACTCCTGTACCTCTCACGCTGGTCTCTCTGTTTTTCTAGGTCTTCCTGAGCTGAAAGGATGAAAATTGGCAATTGGAAAGTCACCGTCACTGTCCTAAGCTTCATCTTAACTCCTGGAGTCTCAGTTGATGTATTTGGGTGCAGGAGCCTGCAAGAGGGTCCACTGTCCCCTTCCATGATTTAGGTCGTGGCTTGGAGCATGCAGCACTGTAAGGTTTACATTATTTGGGCACTAGCAGTGACACTGTCCCTCTCCCACCCCGTGCAAAGGGGTTAATTGCACGATGGAGCTTCCTGTGTAGAATGGTCCTGGATCCTAGATCCCCCCCCAACCCTGAAGGTCTCATCCTGCTCCATCCCTTTGTCCCTGGGCTCGCTCATGACAGTCCCTGCTCACTCCACCGTCACCTTCTTCCAGTGGTGTCAGCCAGCCCCCAGCTTCCCCCATATCTGACCTTCTGTGTCCCTCTCTGCACGCTGTGATTTCAGAGCGGGATGGTCGCCCACCAGAGCTGCCATGTCGTCCCTGACGACCCCCAGTGAGGGAAAGAGCTCTGCTCCCAGGTTTGTTGTTGGTTCCAGGGATGATGAGACAGACTTTCTGGGATCAAACATGAAGACTGACGAAACCAATTTCTTTGAAGACGATGAAGAGGAGGAGTCGGTAAGGAGGTCTTGGCATTCTGGGTTGGAGCATCTGTGCAGAATTCCTGGGTCTCAGCCAGGGTTTGCGCGCTTGCTGCTGGGGGACATGTCACCAGGCTGTGTGTCACAGCCACGGGAAGGGCCGTGTCACCTCTGACAGGACATGTTGTGTTGTCGTGTGGCTGTGCTCAGTGCCTCATGCTGCAGTAAATTCCAACCTTTGTCAGGTGCAGTAGCGGATTTCTTTGTCCTAGTACCTTAACCCTGATGCTCCTATAAACCTTTCTTTTGAGGAAAACTGTGAACTGTGAAAAGGGCAAAAGTGTGTCTGCAGAGAAGAAACGTTTACTCTTTTCTGTAGCCTCCAGGAACCGAATGGAGAAAGGAGAATGATCTCCAGCTCCTGACTACTCTTACTCCTATTCAATGTTATATTAAGTGTTGATTTGCTGTTCTGCATGTGGGGCTCAGGTGTTGCAGCGCTGTTGCTGCTGGCTGTGTGAGTTGCTGGGACCATGTGCCAGCCCAGTGGTAGTTTCCGTTGCCTTTGCTCTGAGGCTCCACTGCAAGTGGGTTGTTGGCTTAAGAGCTGTGTTCAAACCCACATGGTGTTGTCTACCTTGCTGCTCAGTGAAGAGCTATTTATCAGGTGTGGTGAAGGGTTTGGAAGCCCTTTCACTTCCCAGATGTTGTTTTTGCTGTGGAACCTTGGCTTTGCAAGTCAGTGCAGTAACTTCTGAAGTCTCATCTTACCGTTTGAAGCCACAGTCCTTTGTCCTGGGGTAACCTGCAGTCCTGTGCCTATCACTTCTGGTGATCTCACTGCCTTTAACCTTGCATGGGCCAGAATTAATCTGCCCGGAAAACGTCCATTCTGGGGTTTCTAGATGGTGAAGGAAAGTTTACCACAGACTGTATGCTGTTCCTCCATGAGGGTTACCAGTGCTGTTTAAATACACAGAGCTTCTCTCTTGACTTACTCAGCTATATCTCAATGGATCTTGGTGTAATTTTGCAGATATATAGAAGAACACCCGGTTCTCTTCTACTCATAGCTACTTAGTGGTGTTATCTCCCCTTCATTTTCTCTCAGATAAGACAAACAGACTGAGCTCCTGGACTTTTTTGTTGTAAAATGTTTGCAGCTCTTCTCTGAGCCTGCCTAAGTCCACCCATGATCTTGGGTGAGTTATGGGCCACAGAATGTGATGTGGGATCCCAATCCCTGCTGCTTGCTCAGGCGCCAGATGCTTATTTCTGACCTTACCGTTAGTGCCCAGTAAGAGAAGGAGGTACATACTGCCTGGCAAAGAAGGGGTTGTTTTGGGCTGCTCCTTAATGATGTCCCCAGTGGATTCTGGTGGCAGCTGGAAGTGTGTATGGGTTTGAGTCTAGCAGGAGCCCTGAGTGCATAACTTTGGAAGAAAATCACTTGTTTGTTCTGCCTTGCTGCATTTCTGTACTGTTAGTTTAAATTCAGTAAAGCAATTGACTCTGTACAAAACAGTTGTCTGTCTTCCCTTAGCCACCTGAACGGCAGATCGTGGTTGGAATCTGTGCCATGACCAAAAAGTCCAAGTCAAAGCCCATGACACAGATTCTGGAGCGTCTGTGCAAATTTGAGTATATCACAGTGGTGATTATGGGGGAAGATGTTATTCTGAATGAACCGGTGGAGAACTGGCCCTCCTGTGACTGCCTGATATCGTTCCACTCCAAAGGTAAAAAGTCTGTGGGGGGCCTCAGCCTACTTGAGCTCTGGGCAAGGGAGGTCCCACTCATTCTTTCCCCTCCCTCTGTATTTCAGGATTCCCCCTGGATAAAGCGGTTGCTTATGCCAAGCTGTGCAAGCCATTTCTGATTAACGACCTTGATATGCAGTATTATATCCAGGACAGGTAGGCATCTGTGATCCACTAAAGCCCTTCCCTCTTCCTTTCTCTGATTCCTCTTCTCAGCAAATGGTGTCTTCCTGGCCACAAGCAAAGGAGCGAGGTGGGAAGGAAGGGGACCTTAGCAGCCCTTAGGAGTTGTTTCTCCAAAACATGGAGGGGCCTGGTTTGGGATAAAACCATTGAGACTTGGCATGTTTCATTTTCTGGTGCAAAAGTCTCGTAAGGAATGGCTAGATAAAGTAGGAAGTGGAAGATGTCTCACAGAATGAGAGTGCCCTGACGAAGACAAAAGGCTAATCTCTGAGTAGGAAAGCCAAGCAGAAGGATGGGGTTGAGGGACAGAAATTGGTCACATTCTGAGGGTGTGTTGCTTAAACACTTCAAGAGGCTTCTCAGATGGCTCTTGGTAAAGGCAGCCAGCAGTCCCGTACTGCCAGGCTGCTTTTAGGGTGTAGAGGCAGGGCTCACACCAGATCCCAACCTCCTGCTGTGTCTTTGGGTTGTGAGCGGTGTTCCTGGGGGTGCTGACAGGCAGCCTGAGGTCTAACTAGTGAAAGAATTGCAGTTTTCCCATCAGCATTGGATGAAAAGAGGCTCTGCTGCATCTCCTGGCCTGGGCCTTGGGCAGCTTAGCTTGAGGGGCACCTGTGGGAGGGCGGATGTGGGTGGTGGGTGCTGGGTGTGCTGCTGAGGACTGGGCACGTGTGAGGAAATGACTGTCTGTGTTTAGCCCAGGTAGAGATTCACTCTGGCACGTCTCTGTCTGGAGCAGGACTGAGATGTGCCCCGCAATCTGTAGGTCTCTTCTGGAGAGCACGTGCTGAGGAGTATTTGCACTCTGTCTTGAGGCTTTTTTGTGTTCATTTGACTTTGTTCTTCATCAGTGGGAGCGAAGCCCTTCCCTTGGCATGTACTGAGGACCTTCTAGACTCTTCTGACACTGTTTCTGTCCTCTACAGGCGTGAAGTGTATCGGATCCTTCAAGAAGAGGGAATAGACTTGCCCCGCTATGCTGTGCTCAATCGAGACCCTGATAGACCCGAAGGTCAGTGCTCCAGGCTTTACTTAAAGCCATTTTCACGTGCTGTACTATTAGAGATATTCTGCAGAGAACAGATAATCAGCTTGAAGAAGCCTGATTCACAAGTCTGTTGTCTTTTGGGACAAAGGTCCCAAACTGGCTGGGGCTGCAGGGCTCTGTGCTAGGGCTGTCTCACCCTTTCCTAACGTGCTGCTGCTGTGCTTTGTCCTCAGAGTGCAACTTGGTAGAAGGAGAGGACCATGTGGAGGTAAATGGAGCTGTTTTCCCAAAGCCGTTTGTAGAGAAGCCAGTCAGTGCTGAAGACCATAACGTGTATATTTACTACCCAACGTCAGCAGGTGGGGGCAGCCAGCGGCTCTTCCGGAAGGTGAGGATGGAGACTCTGGTTTCGGTGTGGGACCAACAGATCTGTGGCTCTGAGAGCCATGTGGCTTCAGGAGGGAGTGCTGGGGCAGCTGAAAGGGAAAGGAAGTGTTTGTGTTGGGGAAATCTAGACCTTCTTACAACTTCACCCCCCTCTACCTGGGAACCACAGAAGGACATTATTTCAGTGGTAGTGCTGACTTTGCCTTTCCCATCCTCTGTTTGACCTGTGTCCTGTCTAGTATTCATGGAGAACCGTCCCCCTTATTGAATTGCATGCTGTTTTTTCCAGATTGCTTCCTCAGTTTATCAAAGTGATTTTTTTTAAAATTTATATTCCTGTCTTCTAACATCATTGTTGTCCTTCTCAGCTTAGTGTAGCTTGCAAATGTGATAAATGCAGTATTTATTCCTAGATTCCACAGGGCATCTCCCCTTACTTCCTTTGCTTTACCAGCAAACACGTAATAGCTGTGATATATCTTTTTTTCCAATCAGTTATTTATTTGCCATTAATAATCTTAAAATGATTGTTTCCTTAGCTAACATACAGACATGCCACTTGAGGTTGTATCCAAAGCCTTACTAAAAATGGGAACTACATCATCCTCTGTCCATGAGATCAGTCAGCTGTCCTAGAAGGAAGTTAAATTGAGCTGATTATCACCTGTCATTTATTTTCATTTGTGCATTAGCTGGGCTTCTTCCTTTCTGGGTCTTTATCCACAGTTGTTTGTGGATATCCTTGTAGTGATCGGAGTCAACCTAATGGTCTGTAATAACATTTCTTCTCTCTAAAGCCTGGAAAAGGGTGTACCTACTGCCTGTGCGTTGGAGTCTCTTTTGTCCCCCATAGATAAGTGTGTGTAATAGCTGGGGGTTCTGAGAGGCGTTCTGCTAATTCACTACATACAGGATGAAATTTACACTTTTTGTTTTTCTGTCTCAGAAGAGCAGCCCTGTGCTCTTCCCTGAGGCCTTTATTCTATGCTTTTATAGACCTTGAGCTGCGGTTTGCAGTTTCTTCTGTACCTACCTGTAAAATCAATAATGCATAGTAGTCTGAGGGACGCACTAAGCCAGGAAGTTTCCTGGTGATGTCCTTAACCCAGGCTCCAGGGAGACAACAGACCTCCCTCTGTGGAGGGTCCACCCAGCATACTGGGCCTTCCGTCCCCCTTAGGAAGGAGTCACCCACAACTACAACTCTCCTTTTTTTCTTTGTGGGTGTGGTAGTGATCCGAGTTGTACATTTTTTTTTGACTGATGCGTTTGTGTTGTAGGTTGCTCATCATCTACATTTTCACTCAACTGGCCTTCCTTGACCAGAGCCTCATAACTGTTCTTGAGAGGAACTGGACAGGGTGCAGTGGTCAAGGGGGGAGTTCCTCTGCTGCTCCGAGCATGAACTTTTCTCCATTCATTGTTATTATCTAGGCTTCTGGGTATAGGATCCTCTTTCTCTCGTAGAGCCTCCCCCTGTTTCTTTTTCCCTAATGATGGCATTTCCTCTTTGCATTCCCTAATGCCCCTCAGTCTTTCCACTTCCTCTTTAAGCTCAGCCACCAGGCTGAGCAGATTGTTGCTTTCAGATTGGCAGCCGGAGCAGCGTGTACTCCCCAGAGAGCAGTGTGAGGAAGACAGGCTCCTACATCTATGAGGAGTTCATGCCTACGGATGGCACTGATGTAAAGGTAAGGAAAAGCCTGGAATATCCCTGTCCTCCAGGCCTGGGTAGCCAAAGGTTGGGCAGTCCTGTCCCGCTGAGTCCTGCTGAGACTCTGGAGTGTCCCTTGAAGCCAGGAGGTGCTGACAGTGGCACTCGGATCCCAAAGTGGGGAGCAGGTGCTCTGTAGGTCAAACAGGAGGGATGTGTGAGACCATCCAGTCTTCTCTGTGTCTGCACTGTACGTACCCTCTGGAAGCTGCAGTTGGTCCAGGAGCTTATGTCAGGTGTAACTATTTCTCTTCCTAGGTGTACACTGTGGGGCCTGACTATGCCCACGCAGAGGCTCGCAAATCCCCTGCCCTGGATGGGAAGGTTGAACGGGACAGTGAAGGGAAGGAGATCCGTTACCCGGTCATGCTGACTGCCATGGAGAAACTAGTTGCCCGGAAAGTCTGCGTAGCCTTTAAGGTCTGTGTTTTCTCTCCTATGCAAGCAGGACACTCTAGGAATGTCTGATTTGAATTTTGGTCAGTGTTGAAGCTTGAGCTCTGTCACCCCGATGTGCCTCTGGCATTGCAGCCTTCCAGGGCTGATGCCAGTTGCCCTCTCTGCAGGCTGGGTGCAGCTGCTCCTGCTGGCCATGAAGCTTGGTCTTCTTTTCTTCAGCTTTTCTTTTTTTGTTGTTCTGTTTTTAGTTAGCTTTGGAGCACGTTTGTGTTCTATTTCACAGGTTGGTAGAGTCAGTATGTGAGTCTGGGTATGGTTACGAGACACTTGGCCACTAGTTCTGCCATCTGCAGCCCGTAAAGCTGTGCCAATACAGCTGTGGGCTTGTTCTGCCCTGTAGCCTCTTCCAGATAGTGATGGATCACTTTGCCTGTGCCACTTATTGTCTGTACTTGTCTAAATCAGCTGCTTCAAAACAGTTGATTTAGAGGGGAGAAAGAGTAGGTGAGCCAGGAGCTGCTCTGTCTTAAGCCTTTAGAGCTCTGAGGGGTACAGGGGCAGCCCTGATGGCTTAATGCGGGGGCTCTTGAGTTGGGCCTTTGATGCAGTGGTGAGGGTGTAAAGGTTCCTCTAAAGGGATGGTTACTGCTGGCTAGTGGCTGTGTTTTCACACTTCTTCAAGGCTCCTGAGGTGGGCATGGAGAAGAGGATGGAGTGGTGTCCTGCTGGGCTGGGCAGCCCCCGTCCCCTCGCAGCGCACCTGAGTCCTGTGTCCTCTGCTTCCTCCTGCAGCAAACCGTGTGTGGGTTCGACCTCCTGCGGGCAAACGGCCACTCTTTTGTTTGCGATGTGAATGGCTTCAGTTTTGTGAAAAACTCTATGAAGTATTATGATGACTGTGCCAAAATCCTCGGGTATGTAAAATGCAAGTTTTGATGGCGGGTAAGGGAACTCACAGCAAAGTAAAATGGATGTGGATTCCTGATCAGTGTGGTGGAGGAGTCTGCAGGGGGTTCATATGGGGACATCTCTTCAGCAGGTAAAAGCTTGCTCTGGGAGGAATGGTTTAATTATTTTTAGCCCCAGGAGTTCCTGCCTTCGTTGGCTGTCTCTGTCTAAATGTAGATGTGTCTTACAGGGCTTTTCACTGGATGCTAAGCCCAGTGAAAAGTACTCCCAGCTGCAGTATCAGTGATGGGAGGGAAATTGGTGTCCCTTTGGGGTGCCCTAATTAGCCCATGGTGCGATCGGTGTCTCAGAGAGGAGAGCAAGGAGAAATTCTGGGCTCTCTTCAAATGTTACAGCTGGACCAGTATCACAGAATCACCACCATGGTTGGAAGGGACCTTTGAGATCATTGAGTCCAACCTTAAAAAACAAACAAAACAAAAAAAACCACAAAAAAACCCACCACCACCAAAACAAAAAACACAACACCCATCCACCTCACACCCAGCCATAAACCAATAATCTAGGCAGTAGAGCATGCCCTGAAGAGCCATGTCTCTCACACCCAGCCACAAACCAATAATCTAGGCAGTAGAGCATGTCCTGAAGAGCCATGTCTACACATTTCTTAAATACCTCCAGGGATGGTGAATCCACCACCTCCCTGGGCAGGCTGTTCCAGTGCCTGACCACCCTCTCAGTAAAGGAATTCTTCTTAATATCTAATCTAAACCTCCCCTTCCACAACTTCAGACCATTTCCTCTGGTCCTGTCATTATTCCCTTAGGAGAAGAGGCCAACCCCCACCTCTCTAAACCCTCCTTTCAGGTAGTTGTAGAGGGCAATGAGGTCTCCCCTCCGCCTCCTCTTCTGCAAACTAAACATGCCCAGTTCCTTCAGCCTCTCCTCAGTTCCCTGAGTAAGGAGGAGGTGGAGAACCAAGCAAATGGAATTTCTTGTGAGTTTTGTATTCTAATTTCTTCCAGAAATATAATCATGCGGGAATTGGCTCCTCAGTTTCATATTCCCTGGTCCATCCCAACAGAGGCAGAAGACATTCCCATCGTCCCCACAACTTCAGGCACCATGTGAGTAGCTGCCATCTTCTCAAGGGAATGTCGGTGATGGCTGCATGAGGGACAAGGTGCAAACCCCATCCGAGGGATGGACATCACCCAGCAGCACGGCCTTCTCCAGCTGCTGTGTTGGCTGCAGCCCTGAAATGCCTGTGGAAGGGCTTAGCCATGCACACGAAAGGGGTGATAGATGGTAAATTAGTCGTTGGTTCGATGAATGCAGATGAGCAGACATTGAAGGAATGACAGAAATTGCCTTTCAAAAGGCCCAAATTCTGGATCGGCACAGGAAGATTAGGGCTGTAGTTGGCTCACTGTTCTGTAGGCTGCTACTAGAGAAAACGTGTGTTGAGCTGCTAGTGAAATGGGTGGAAAACAATTAGCGTTACCTGTATGCTTGGCAGACCCTCATTTGATACTATCGGCTTTACTGGTTGTCCACCACATAAGGCTAAAAGATCAAGGTCAAGAGTTTCTTTGTGATCCTCAGCACACTTGTATGAGCTGAACAAAGTAGGTGCTACAGAAGAGGTAGATTGAGAGTGTCTTCATCCTTCCTTTACCTTGCGATCATTTGGAAAAAGTTGGCAAACACGAGCCCTGCACAGCTTGGAGGACCGCTGGCTGCAAGGACACCTTGTGACAGTGAGACCGTTAGAATCCATCCCTGTTTGTCTGGGATTCTATAAGAAATAGTTGGATATTGGAGTATCTGAGAAAACAAACTCATGTAGCCCTTCTGAAATCAACCAGCCTCACTGCTGATTCCTGCAGGGGGGCTGATTGCTATGGGATCTCTCTACGTACAGCTCCTATTGGTTGCTCAAAGACAGGACTCCACCTGTATAACCATTCTTCTGAATCAAGTTGTTTTTTTCTTGGGTCTTTCTAAGTGGTCCTTTGAGCGTTGCACAAGTTGGGCATGAAAACAAGCTTAACACAATTCAAAGTGCTGTTTCTGTAGATTCTGTAACATCCAGCCTGGTCCTTTCTGCTGCAGATGTGCTTCTGCCTGTCATATTGTGGTTCTGTGGTGCTTTTCCCTACAGGAAACCAGATGACCTGGTGGTGTCTGCAGTACTTTGGTGCTTTTACGGCCTTGACACTACTAGTGTAGTCTGGAAGAAGTTATACCATTGATGAGGAAAATAGCCGTCAAAAGGAAGGAACTGAAAGAACAATGGGATAGTACTTTCTGGTGGCAATTCTGGGGTGCAGGGGCACGTTTGTCAGGTGTATCTTGTGTTTCCCCAGGATGGAGCTTCGTTGTGTTATTGCAGTCATCCGGCACGGAGATCGTACCCCAAAGCAGAAGATGAAGATGGAAGTTAAGCATCCCCGGTAAGAGTCAAGGCAAGAAGGTGCTGTGCTGCTGGGAAGCGAGGAGGGTCTGTTTTCTGAATTGAGAGGAGGAGCAGAAGGGCTGAGTGTGTAGGAGGCAGAGCTTTTTCCTGGCTCCATTCAAGCAAATGCTTTCTGCCCCGTCGAGGGAGCTGCCTTTCCCCCTAAGGATCCCGGCACTTTCTGGGTGAAGGTCTACTGGCTGCTGCAAGGGGAGGTGCCCCACTAAATGGGAAGCTAGTGACTGCTTCCTTTTCATACCTGTAGCTGGAAATGCTTCTTTTCAGAATTTCTCAAGCCCAGGAAGGAGCCAGTGGGCCTGTTGGTTCTCCCTGAAGAACAGCAGCTGAATGCATTTGTAGGGATGACAGTCCTTGTAGCACTGAAACAGCAGAAAATGGATCAGGGTTCTTTGTTGTCTGTTTAGGTTCTTTGAATTATTTGAGAAATATGATGGCTACAAGACAGGGAAGTTGAAGCTGAAGAAACCGGAACAGCTACAGGTAAGGAGAATCCTCTCTGGGGTTACCTGTGGGACTTGCAGGTAATATGGATCCCAGCGTGAGGCAATTCTTTGGGAGGGTGGAAACCCTCAAAAGGGCAACAGTCCGTTGCACAAATTCTCGCTTTCTCATTTCCCACCACATGCACACTTGGCTGGGTGATGGTGTGGGAGCAGAAGGAAAGCTGTTCCTGGCTGGTGTGAAGGCTGTAGTATGGGGGTGACCTGATGCCACTTGCCCATCTGTTGTGGTGGCTGCTGGTGGAAAATGGGTCCAGGCTGGGAAGTGGGGCAGCTGGAGGGGAGGCACCTGCTTGGTTCTCAATGGGGCTGGAGCACAGGGTGGGGATGAAGCAGCCTGCACGGTGAAAGTTTGTCCTGCCTGAGCTGCGTTTTATGAAATGATGTGTTTCTGAGGAGTTTCTATGTGAACCTGGTGCTGGGTGAAGCCATCTGGAGGCCTTGCAGGAGTGGAGTGGTAAGTCTGAGCAGAATTGCTGGACACTTGAGACTGTCTGCCCTCCAACAGGAAGTGCTGGACATCGCGCGGCAGCTTGTGGTGGAGCTGGGAACCCACAGCGACTGTGAGATTGAAGAGAGGAAATCCAAACTGGAACAGCTGAAGAGCGTCTTGGAGATGTAAGGGTCTATGTCTTGGGGCACCGTGAGTTCATCAGTCGCGATGTAGAAACGAGCTGTGCTGCTGGCAATAAGGTTGTCCTGATGCCAGAAGTTTAACAAAAAGGAGCTGGGAAAACATGAAAAGATGTTTGTGTCCTCTTAGATTTCGTAGAGCCAAAATAAAAGACAATATGTTGGTGCTGGCATCTTAGAAACCACAGAAGGATTTATCTCAGAACTGAAGCTCGCTGTAGCAAACGCGGGCAGCGTCTGTGTTCAGGCTGTGTCTGCGGAGCACAGAGCACGGGTTTTTGCTATGATTCCTTCCCTTGCTGTTTCTACTCATTAGGATGTGGTTATCCTCAGAGCGGCTGGCAGATAGTTTTTCTGTCATCTCATTAATTCACTTGTTAAAGATGTAGACAGAAATTAAGTAAGGCTGATTAAAGCCTCGTGGGATATGAGAGTACAGGGTGCTGTCAGCTGAAAAGCAGGCAAGTCAATGGATCTTTGAATTTCATTTGGGGGGGTTATTGGGCTTTATCTGTAAAGGTGGCGTGTACCAGGTCACATGTAGGTGGCAAAAAATGTTGATGTTCTGTGGGAACTAGTTTTGCAGCAGAAAGTCTCTTGCCTGTGCTGTATTTTTGCTGTGTGCTGCATGGGGACCTCTGGGCAAGGGCTGAGTGGAGCTGATTTGTTTCAATTTCCCCCCCCCACCACCCTCTTTGTGACAGGTATGGACACTTTTCTGGCATTAACCGTAAGGTTCAGTTGACCTACCTGCCTCACGGACATCCAAAAGCTGCAAGTGAAGATGAAGGTAAAGAAACTTAATGTTGCTGCTATGCTCTCCCAGCCTGGTGTTGAGGAGTGTGTGCGTTGTCCTACCCACAGAGGCCTCTGGATGCACAAGTGAAATGAGTGACCTGTAGCTTATCTTTGCTCACATCCTGTGAAGTGTTGGAGTGATGCATAATGCAGTGTACCGACCTACCCTGGAGGGTGCCACGGGGTTTATGTTTCCAATTCTGTGAATGTCAGCATTCAAAAAGTAGAGACCTTTAATTTTGTACTTGCTAGTTTGGGTCTTGGGGGTTTTGGGTCAGGTTTGTGTTGAGAGCGCTCTGTGAGGTACTGATGAAACCTCCTCTTCCTCTCCCCCACAAGCTCATCTTTGAGATCTGATGTAGTGAGTACCTCTTTGTCTCCTAGAAGCTCGCCGAGAATCTTCCCCATCCCTTCTCCTGGTGCTTAAGTGGGGTGGAGAGCTGACACCGGCAGGAAGGGTCCAGGCAGAAGAGCTGGGGCGAGCCTTTCGCTGCATGTACCCCGGTGGCCAAGGTGAGCTTTGTCCAGGTATTGTCCCTGTCCTGTGACTGTGCCAGGCTGCCCAGCCCAGCATCAGGGACAGACTCCTGAGGGCTGTCAACTCTCTTGAGTTGACCTGGAAAAGGTAAATAATTCAAGTAGGTTTTGCACCCAAAGATCCCTGAGCTGGCTAGAGATGTCTGCTGCAGCGTCTAAACTTCAGCATGTCTTGGAGCACAATAGATTATTTCAATTGACGGGCCAGTATTCATAAAAGAGAAGCTGTTCTAATAAGATCCGTTCTGATGCAGCAAATGCAATTTAAAACTTACATATGATTAACAAGGAATTTAGGTCAGATGTGGAGAACAGAGGAAATCTGTCTTGCAACACAGATAATTCTGCCTTGAGACAGGAGAATATGAAGGTAATTTATCTGTGTTTTCTCCACCGTAATTCTGTGACTCTGAAAGGTTTTCAGTGCATGCTTAGATCAGTGTGAGTGCCTAAAGGGCTCAAAGGGGAAAAAAGACTGAGACTGCCTTTTACGTGCAAGTAAAGAGTCAGAAGTAACACACTGCTACTGTATTGATCTGACAAGAGCAGCATTGGACATTGCTTGTCTTTGATTTTTATGTTTAATTAATTCAATTTAATTAATTAGATTTCAAATTAATTAAGCTAATTTAAATTGAATTGGAAAAGATTTCCTTCTGGAATAAGGAAGAGTTACCCTTGGTGGAAGAGGATGGGGTCACGGAATACTTAAGCAAACTGGGCCCTGATGGGATGCACCCACAAGTGCTGAGGGAGGTGGCAGATGTCACTGCAAGGCCACTCCAGATTATCTCTGGAAGATTGTGGGGACTGGGGGAGGCGTCCAAGATCCAGAGGAGAGGAAATGTCACTGACAGTTTCAAAAACGACAAGAAGGAATTGTCGTTTCCCCCAGGGAATGGGAGGCTGGTCAACCTCGCCATGGTCCCTGGGAAGGTGATGGAGCAGCTAATCCTGGAAACCATTTCTGGGCACATGGAGTACAGGAATGTGACTGGGAGTGGTCAGCCTGGATTCACAAGTCAAGCTTAACCAACCTGGTAACCTCCTACTGTGAAGTGACTGGATTGTTTAGACACAGGGAGAAGAGTGTCTATGGCCTACTTTGACTTCAGCAGGGCTTTTGACACTGTCTCTGGTAACATCCTCACCACTGATGAAGTATGGACTGGATGGGCAGACGGTGAGGAGGAGTGAGAGCTGGCTGAACAGCTGGGCTCAGAGGGTGATGATCAGTGGCACAAAGGGAGAGCGAGGGAAGTGAACTGTGAGGTCAGATGCTTGTGATCTCAAGAGCATGCTTTTAGCAAACATGTGAGGATAAACTTCCCAAAAGATGAGAAAACGAGGTGCACGTGGGTGTTGCTCACTGCAAGGTGCCAAGAAGTAGAGCAGACTGTCAGTGCACAGAGACTAGAGGAGGAGGAGCAGTAGTGGACAGAGGGTCTTCATGACAAGGCCTGTGTGCCATTCTTGGAGATGGGAATGGTGAGTTAAAAGGGCTGAGGACCTCCTGGTGCTGTTGTGGTTCTCTGAAGGCTGGAGCTGAGAGCATCAGCCGCTGGCTTGGATAAGAGACTGGGGAGACCAGAAGACTGCAGGAGAGAGAATCCCGGTGGAAGTGCAGGGAGCAGACTGCAGCACAGTAAGCTAAAACCCAAGAGAAGAGACCTGTCTGCAGAGTTCTGCTCAAGTGGGGTGCAGTTACCCGGGAGCAGGGCTGAGCCCTCAGGTATGGTCTGTGCCAGCCCTGGACTCACTGCTCCGTACCTTGCCCTCTTATGCACAGTAGAGCTTGGTCCAAGCATGTCCAAGGTGACTTCAGTCATGGCGTTGGAGACTTCTGCTTTACATGGTCACTTGTGGAGAGGGAGAGGTCTTATTTTGCAGCGAGATGCCGTGTTCCTGGGTGCACTGGCGCATGGCAGCTTTGCACAGATACACAGCTGACTCCTGGCCCTGTCTGTCCTTCTCGAGCAGGTTGTTTCTCTGAGCTGGGAGCAGTTTTCCAGACTTCTCCTGCGGTGTGACTGGGTACTGTGTGGAATCATCACGGGATTCCAGGCAGCAGCCAGTCAGTCACCACCGCACTGTCGTTGTTGGGTCAGGCTCAAGAGCTGCGTGAGTTACGTTTTCCCGTTACTGATCTGGCTCCTGTGGCTGACTCAGCCACCATAAATAAACCGGCATTTTGTGCCACAAGGTAATTGTAGCTCTACAGGATATGCTTTGGACGGCGGGTGCCTCCCTATGGAATAGCTCTGCCTGCAGTTCTGGTGGCACCGGGGCCTGCTCTCGTACAGAGAACAAGTAGGAGGAGGCTGTTATTTTGGGCGTCTTTATTCTGAACAGGGGTGTTCAGACTGGCAGGACAATTACAGGCCTCTGGAAAGGGTTGCTGCAGAATTTAGGCAGCATCAGACTTGACTGGTAAATGCTTTCTTTTTTCCCCAAAATGAACTTTTCCAAGTTAAGTAAAGCCTGAATCAGATTTCTAGTCATCATGTATGGTTAGAACTGTCTATTTTGGAGCAGCCTAACTGTGAGCTCTGAAAGTGAATAATTCTCTACATAACTTTGTTACCACAATAGAGTTGGTTGTCTAAAGCAGTATATTCAGCTGACAGTTTTGCAGGTGTCAGGATATTAATTTTGATTTTTTTTCTCCCATTTCAGGTGATTACGCTGGTTTCCCTGGGTGCGGCTTGCTCAGACTGCACAGCACCTACCGTCACGATCTCAAGATCTACGCTTCAGACGAGGGGCGGGTTCAGATGACAGCAGCAGCTTTTGCAAAGGTCCTTCCTCTCTTTTAGGAGCCTGTTAGTTCTGCTGCGTTAGTCTTAAAATGTGCCAGTTCTAAAGGAAAACCTCTGGTGATGAGGAAGGAGCTGTTGTAGGAGCTCCTCCCTCTCTGCTGGGAGGATGGTGGTGGGCTGTGCTATCAGCCAGTGCGCAGGGCTGCAGGTTAGCACAGCCCACCACCATCCTCCCAACAGAGAGGGAAATCCAGTGTAGCTGCATGTGTGTGAGCTTTAGCGTCCTGTCCAGGGCAGGACTCTGCCTGGAGAAGGAGTTAGTTATGGAGTATCACTGGTGTTTGATATAATAGAGAACACCAAACCCGTTGCTGAGTATTAATTGCCTACAGAATGAGAATTTCTTGGATGACTGCCCAGCCAGAGGGCTGGATTTAAAAGGGGAATAAAATGTCTCTGGTGCAGTTTGGGATGGGGGCTGGGGGAAAACAGGTTAATCTGCAGTTAAAGCCTGAGCCAAGGGGAATAGTGTGATGACTTTTGCTGTTGGCGGTTTAGCTGAGTTGACTGCTCAACAGTTGCCTAGACAAATCTGGGGCTGCTGCAGGCAGAGCTGGGTTTTGCCTCGAATCTCTCTAGAATCATGCCAGAATCCCTGGAGACTGTAGGTGCTGGTGCTGTAAAACTGCTCTTCAAGGACAGTTGAGATTTCACTCGAGTGGGCTGAAAAAGCTGGCCATGAAACTACCAGAAATGTTTGTTGGTTGGGTTGCACATAACTGAAGTCTTGTTCTGTGCTGCCTCAGGGTCTGCTGGCCCTGGAAGGAGAGCTGACCCCCATCCTGGTGCAAATGGTGAAAAGTGCTAACATGAACGGTCTCCTGGACAGCGACAGCGATTCCCTGAGCAGCTGCCAGCACAGAGTGAAGGCACGGCTCCATGAAATCATGCAGAAGGATGCCGAGTTCTGTGAAGAGGATTATGAGAAGGTAAAGCTCCTGGGTGGCTTCATTGCTTCCTCTGTCTGGAACGGGGACAGCATCGCTCAGGGGTGTGACGTGAAGCCTGCTGCTGTGTGAACAGTGGCTTGGTTAGTCTGAGATCAGTTCTGGTCAAAATTGCAGGGCACAAATAGCATTTAGGAAGGGAAAGGGAAGTGTTTTGAGGGGTAATAGTCCCTGCCCTTCTGCAAGTGAAAATCCTCAGTGTTACTCCACTGTTCCCTTCAAGAATCACAATGGTACCCTTTAGAAGTTCCAGTGCATTTTATTTTCATGGGGTGCTAAAAGAAGAGTTCTTATTGTTTACTAAGTGCTCCCCAGAGCAATCCCAGTTGCTGTGGACAGGGAGTGCACCTTGCCATATTCTAGATCCGTGCTTTGTGCTCGTGTGAGCAGATCTTTTGGATATAAACCCTTTTGTGGTCCTATCAGTGTCTGATAATTGCAGAGCAGAGAGCATGGACTGCATCTAGCATGGCAATCAGTAAAAGCTATAGCTGCTTCTCTGACAAGTCCCCAAAACACTATTTCTCCCAGACTCTGAGATCTGATTATCAGACTGAATTCCATTCCCATTAAGGAATATATTTATCAGCTCAAAGAACTGCTTAAAACTTCTATGAAGCCCTTCTGCTCAAGCACAGAAGTGAGACAAGTGGATGTTGTAGGTGGAGGGAATTCTAATCTGACAGGAGCAGTTGTTTGCTCCCTTCGAGTTTGGTCCTGAGGCAGATTTTAAAGCCCACCTGACTGCCCCTAGGAACAGGGAAGTTACTGCACCTCGCTGGGAGCACAGCTTTTGTACCTAATCAGAAAGTGGTAGAGCTGCAAGAGGCAGATTTTTTGTTTTCCCAGTTTGTAAAGATACTAACTTATCTCTGCTGGTATCTCCTCTCAGCTAGCACCTACAGGCAGTGCTTCTCTGCTCAACTCCATGACATTTATCCAGAACCCAGTAGAGGTCTGTAACCAGGTCTTCACCCTGATTGAGAATCTCACCTCCCAGATAAAAAAACGCCTGGAAGACCCAAAATCTGCAGGTGAGTATCAGAACTGGAAAGGGTCTGGAGCAGATTCATTTATTGCTACATCTTCAGAGCTCCCAAACACCACTATGATTTAAGTTTTTAGTAAAGTGAAATTCTGTATGTGCTATTGATGTAGAAGGCTCCTATTCTGCTTTGAACTACTGTTAATGAGAGCTGTAATGTAAAGGAAATTATATGTGCATCTTGGGTTTAGAGCGGCTGTACACAGCAGCAGTATAGCTTGGAGAGTTATGTCTCATTTTTTCAAGCATTTCTTGGAGCTGAGCTCAAGGCTATAAACAACAAATTTTTCAGTCACGCTTTGCTCATCTCTAAGAACTTTCCTAATAACAGTGCAGAGGTTTTGAAAAGGTATCTGTGGGACATTTCACGTGATTTATGGCAGACATAAGCAAGCAGTTTCCCTTTTCTCAAGTATTTCAGAAGTAGCTTATTGCTACAGGTTAAAACTCCATGTAACAGGTCCAGTGGCTTTTCCAGTCCAGGATTCCTGTGGGTGACAGGACAGTCAGAGCCCGTCTGTGCTGGGAGGAGTCAGTCACCATGGTCAGTTGAAATGTGGGCAGACATGGTCAGGATGTGAACGTGGTCTGGTGTTCTCTGCTGTTTAGACCTGCAGCTGTACCACAGCGAGACTTTAGAGCTGATGCTGCAGCGCTGGAGTAAGCTGGAGCGAGATTTCCGCATGAAGAACGGGCGCTATGACATCAGCAAGATCCCCGATATATATGACTGCATCAAGTACGATGTTCAGCACAACTGTGCACTGAAACTGGAAGGCACAGCTGAGCTCTTCAAACTCTCCAAAGCCCTGGCAGATGTGATCATACCCCAGGTAGAGCCTGTCCTGCCTGCGTGACAATGTCTGTGGTGTCAGTTCCAGACACCTGTCTGTTTTCTCTCTGTTCTCCTGCACGTTAACTCTCAAGGCAGAGTATTACAGGTATTTCTCAGATACCTCTCTTAGTGTTTGTGTAAGGCCAAAACCATTTATGACTTAAGATGTGGCAGGGCTTGCTCCTGGGTGAGGATTCTGACAGCGTCAGAGTAATGAAGAGCCGATGCAGCAGCTTTTCCACGTTCATCGTGGTGCATTATAGCACAGTGTTGGGCTGTGTGTGTGAGCGATGGCAATGCCCCGTTCTCCACATGCAAGATTGTATAGGGGAAGAGAGATTTGTGTGGTAAAGTGAAGGCCTGTTCTGGCAAATTTGTTATTCTTGTCAAACTAGAGCTTTTTCGGTTAAGTTGGCTTGCTTTTCACAAAATTTATGCCCATGAACATGTAGGGGGGAGAGAGGGCCACGTGAAATGGATCTCTGTGTTCACAGAGATCACAGTGGATCTTAGTAGCATAGAATTCATGGTTCTATCCTACTTCTGGCAAAAATGCTTCATTTGTATGGGGCGAGCTTCCCATAGAAATGGTCCAACTGCACGTGTAGAGTCTTGTAAGCTTTTTCACAGTGTCCCTGATGAGATACATTTTGGCTATTTCCAGCATAGCTCTTCAAGTTTTATCTTTGCAAATAGTGGTAGTTGCACTAATGCTTGTGCCAGGTCAGGGTATAAGTTAGTGTGTCATGAGAGGACGTTCTTTGATGGTACTTGTGCCTCTCAGCTGTTGGAGAAATACTGACAGTCCTGTCTAGACAGACTGGGATTCTGGGAGGAGTCTCTGTCCTCTGTTACCCTCTGCAACATGTGGGGAAAAAATAAGAGAAAGGCGTGAGTGACATTTCCCTTTCTGTCCTTGCTGAACTGTAGTGCTTGTGGACAGGACTGTTGAAGTCCAGCCTCCTTTCGTGTGAGGATGTGGCAAAGAACCAGGGCTCAAGGATATCTATTGTTTTGTTCCTGCAGGAATATGGAATTAATAAGGAGGAGAAACTGGAGATTGCTATTGGCTTTTGTCTTCCTCTCATTAAAAAGATTCAGTTGGACCTGCAGAGAACCCATGAAGATGAGTCTGTCAACAAGCTCCATCCCCTGTAAGGATTGTGCTGCACACTGCTGCTGGTGGGGAGGGCAGCTTAGAGCAGCGTGTGGGAACCGTGCCACCAGGGTTGCCTGGTGTGGGAGGAGGCTCTGAACACACCCTGAACACCTGCCAAAAGGAGGGCATGTTGGTGCTTCTAGAACTGGAAAGGAAATGGAAAGGCATATTGAGACTGCTGAGCGGGAGCACGGTGCCACAGGAGCTTACACCCACTGTGGTTGGATGGTGGTGCCTTCGTCCCTGTCTCTACAAGGGGCAAGTGGTCGTATGATGAGGCCACCTCTGCCCCACCATGTGTCTCCATTAGGATACCACAAACCTCCTGCTTCTGTGCCCGATGCTCTCACTGTTTGTTCTGTTCCTGCTGCTCTTTGGCTGTTCCTAATGTGGGGTTGTCTCGCTGCCTTAAGCGTGCAGAGATGCTGCTGTATGATAGGTGGCACTTCACTGGCAGGCTGTGAGTAACCCTTGCCTGATTTTGGTTTAGGTACTCAAGAGGAGTTCTGTCACCAGGTCGGCATGTTCGGACGCGGCTCTACTTCACCAGTGAGAGCCATGTGCACTCTCTGCTCAGCATCTTCCGCTACGGGGGGCTCCTGGATGTAAGTGTCCCAGCAATGCTCACAGAGTAAGCCTCCCTGCTTCCTTCCAGTGCCCTTTCCAGGGTGGACGGTGTATGTTTGTAGGTTGCCCCTCCGGCCAGCTCCCCCAATAACGATGTGCCAGCTCCATCTCTGCTGTGTTTGCATGCTGCGGCGTCCTGCCTTCCTGGCATGTAGGAGGATTGTTCTTCCTCAGTCCTGACACCGCCTGCCTTGCTCGTACAGGGGCATGTTTTCTCCAAGAGCCATCCTGCTGATCTCAGATGAGTCAGGCGCTGACCTGTGTAGGAGGAGAGCAGTATGAGGCAATGGAGAGGAGGGAATTTCTCTCTTCTTCCTTCAGTCCTTTGTCTTGGCCCTGTTGTTTAGTGACTTTCTGTGAATTCTAAATCAAGACAATCAGTTTGCTTACAGAGGAAGGGACTGCAGGTTGCAAATGCATAGGGAGTGCTCTCTACCAGAGGGACAGATGATACATTTTTAGGGGAATAACTCACTCAATCCAACCTTCACTTGGTCCTGAGGGAATTACCAAGCAGACCCCAAGAAAAGCTCTGCTTTATGCTTCTTGATATATTCTCTGAGTTATCTTCCCATTTTTAAGTTTATTGTTCTGAAATGCCTTGAGAGTTTGAGCTTATTGAGCAGGCATCATTTCTGCTGTCTGTGGAAGCTCACTGGATCTGCAGGCAGCAGTCATGCAAGTACCTCTGAATTGCTCACTGAATGAGATGCGACTTTATTCCCTGACTTGAATTGCAGAATCATAGAATCACTCAGGTTGGAAAAGACCCTTGGGATCATCGAGTCCAACCATCTACCCTACCTACAAAGTTCTCCCCTACACCATATCCCCAAACACCATATCTAAATGACCCTTAAACTCATCCAAGGATGGTGACTCAACCACCTCCCTGGGGAGCCTATTCCAGTGTCTGACTGCTCTTCCTGTGAAGAATTTTTTCCTAATGTCCAGCTTGAATCCATTCCCTCTTGTTCTATTGCTAATTACCTGTGAGAAGGTAATTGTCAGAAGATGCCGTGTTGCCAGCAGAGGGATATTAGTCTGCATCTGGGTTCATTTGTACCAGCAGGGTTCATGTCGTGTCCATCAGGGTGGTGGGGCGCCCCACAGCAGCGTGGCTCCACGGCCGTTGCCCAGTGGTGGTGGGAAGCAGTGATGGCTGGGCTGCCCTGCCTCCTGCCGCCCCAGGGTCCAGCGTGGCTCTGGGGGCTTTCCATTCAGCATCAGGAAAAGCAGCCTCACCTGGTCCCTTATTTAGCACAAGTTCATCCTTTGTGCTTTTTTTGAGATTTCTCTAAAATACCCCATTCTATAGCTGCTGTTTGAGAAGGGCGGTTTGGGAACCTGCTGTGGGTTGTGCTTTTCTTCCGTCAGCATGGCGCAGGGTGTGCAGCTGGGTGTGCTCGGGTCTGCGCGTGGATGGTGCGGGTCGCTACAGCGTCCCTGGATGCAGTCGCTCCTCACTGTGAGAACCCTGCCCTCGTTGCAAGGTCACCTCTCTTTGTGCAAGTTGAGCAAGGTGTTTTTTGTCCTGACAATGTTGTTATCTTGTGGAGAGACAAACTCTCTCAGACCCGTGTCACTGAATGCTGCGAGGTGTCTGCTGTTGCTTATTCCATGCGACTGTTTATGTGTATGTATCAGGAGAACAAAGACGAGCAGTGGAAGAGAGCCATGGACTATTTGAGTGCTATCTCAGAGCTGAACTACATGACCCAGATTGTTATCATGCTCTACGAGGACAACAACAAGGTGAGGGATGTAGCTGTAGGATAAAATCCTTCCTGCTGTGATGCAAGGCAGAGTCCCAAGAGATGAGTTCAGCCGGGAAGTCTGTAGCCTGGGCTCTCTCTGCTTGGGAATAAAGATGGACGGATCATTAACACAACTGCTAGTTTTTATATTTAGGTGGGACGCTTAATCCTTGTTACATGTGAGCAGAATGCCACCCTGAGCAGTAACACCGAGCTTAAGTAATCAATGCCATCTATTTTAAAGCATTTCCTAACACAAAATAATTTGCTGTTTTTTACTATTAACTATAAATAAACAGTAGGAAAAAAAAAGGAAAAAACCACCAATTATATTTAGCTGTTTTTTCCATGTCTTTCTGGAAAATATCCAGAAATTCCACATTCATAAACTTTTTCTATTTTAAAAATCTACTGATATAGTTAGGGAATTATATAATGATATCTTCAGGAAGTATAAGGAATCATTTAAGAAACAGCTGGCGTGTGGAAGCTGATGATGATGACCCAGTGCTGTGCCTCAGGAGGCGGTAGGTGAGGGGAGCAGCCCCTTTCCTCCAGTCACTGTGGAGTTAGAATCTTGTATTCACAGAGCTGATGTGGACTTCCAGTAGTACCAGTGATGTATTTCCTACTGGTGTTCGTCAAAAAAAAAAAAAAAAAAATCAAAAGAGTTTAACCTTTACTGTGAAACTCTATTTCAATACCAGAAATACCTGTTATCAGTAAATCTTCGTTGAAAAGGGGAAGTGTGGTGAATTTCTAGGATTTTTTTAGTCATACTCTTATGTTTTTTTTCAATACGTTCTTCTTCAAACACTTGGAAATGTCAAAGGCAGAGGGAGGAACCAAAAAAAAAAAAAAAAAAGTCTGAAAAGTCTGAATAGAGCTCTTAGGAGTGGTGCAAATCTGTTAGTGAGTAGAGATGGTAAAACTTTTGATTTTACATCATTAGTGCCAGGTACTGTAAAAACTCTAGCTTCCTTAAAAAAAAATAAAAAATTAGAGATTATTACTTAAATCTTGGAACAACATGACTAAAGGCCCAGGAGGGAGCCATTCTCTCCCTGCCAAGCATGTGCTGGTTTTGCCACAGGAGTGGAATGGAAAGGGGCTGTGTTTTAGGTTTATGTATGTGTGTGTATATATATATTTTTATATATATGTATATATACACATACAGTCCATTCTGTTTTACTCTTCTGGTGGCTGTTGTCACAAAATAACAATTGGAATGCCTCAGCTTTGTGCTAATAAGGGCTGTCCTTTTGGATGAAACAAACCTAGAGCCATTATGTTTGTGGTTTCTTGTTGCTTCCGCTTCCCTTCCAAAAGGATGCGCTTGGGGTGCGTGCTGCGCTGGCATGGCGGGACGGCCGGGCTGGCAGCAGGACCCATCCTCATTTATTTACTCATTCCCTGTGCCTCATGTTCGCAGGACCCATCTTCAGAAGAGCGTTTCCATGTGGAGCTGCATTTCAGCCCTGGCGTGAAGGGCTGTGAGGAAGACAGGAACGTGCCCACGGGCTTTGGCTTCCGTCCTGCCTCGGCGGAGGTGAGCTCACTGCCCATGGGGGATCGGGCAGCGTGCGGCTCTGCTGGGGTCTGCCACGAGCCCCTCTCTGGCCACACAATGGCCCCTGGCCTTCCCCTCCCGCCCGCAGGCTGTGAGCGGGTTACCTTCCCTCCTAAATCATAGAATTGCCTGGGTTGGAAGGGACCTCTCAGATCATCTAGTCCAACCATCAACCCAACACTGCCATAGACCATCTCTAACCCATGTCCCTAAGTCCCGGGTTTGTCAGGGCGGGCTCTGGGAACGCTGTGTCCCCCTGAGCGCTGCAGGGGCCGGCAGGGCCAAGGCTGGGGTTGGTGCCGGGCAGCGCTGGTGAGGGCCACGCGTCTGCAGGGGTCAATATGTCCTTGCTGCAGAACGAAGACAAGAAAGCAGACCAAGGCAGCCTGGAGGACCTTTCCAAAGAGAAGGGCATCGACGAACCGGACCGTGCGCAGCAAAGGTCTCCACAGCCCTCCGAGCCCATCAGCCTTCAGCGCAGATCTCCGCTCATCAGGAATCGGAAGACAGGGTCCATGGAGGTAACAGTGCCATGGCCGCCCTTGGTTGTTGTAATGAAGGTCTTTTACTTGGTCTTGGTTTCCTGGCATTCCTTTTGGTGTGCCAGAGTTTGAGTTGATTCTGGGAAAGGATCTGCAGAAGTTAAAGAGGGACTTTTTGGAAGGCAGACCTCCCAAACACCTCCTCCTGGAGGAAGGACAGGGGGAGGCCTGGTGAGAGGAATTGATAAGGAAGAGCAAGTAAGGAAATGCTTGAGAAACACTAGAAATATTTGGGTTACATGCTCCCAAATGTAGAGGCATCAGTGTAACAAATTATGAGATTGTTGCAACCTCTCCACCTGGACACGGAGGCATCTTTGCCTTCCCTTAGACTCCAGCCTTTGCCTTTCACAGTTCAGCTCCACATTTCCCATTCCTGTCTCCCATCTAAGACCTCATGCAAACCAGAGGTGCCTGCTGACCGGTGGCTTTATTACAGTGTTTAAACTGGCAGGGTTTAGAACTGTCCCATTCGCTGATCTGCTGAAGTAACAAAGATGGATTTTACTGTTCTTCTCTCCTTCAGGGGCATTACGTGTCATAAGCTTTCACAGTCAGCAGGGGCTGGCACCTTTGAAGTGCTCTAGAATTACCGTTTCTTTTGGAGGGGTTTGACAGGCATTTTTGCTGTTTTCTGAGCCAGTGAAAGCAGAGAGTTAGGGCTCATGGTATTTGTTAGCTGCCTTACATCTCAGTGTCACTCAGGATGTAATCTTTGCGTGCAGCACTTGGGGGCTCTTTGTAACAGGCACATACTAAGTTAAAGGGGATATACTTTCCTGCTGCTGAAGAAGGAAGTCTATGTCCCAGTGATCCCAGCAAGGCTCTTGGGAGACCAGAAGCTCAGTATCTGAGCTCTCTTCATCTCCGCTGTTCCACAACCCAACACAAACTTGAAATTAAAATTGAGCAAGCACCGTCACAATCTTAGCATAGGAGTACTTTGTGCTTCTTGAAAAATGTGATTTTTAAGGAAGAGACCTACTTTTCCTTACCTTCAATTGACGTATAAAGGCTTTTTGAGACCAGTGGGTAACTCAGAGCACGACACTGATTATACTGTCTGTCTTTGCAGGTGCTATCTGAATCCTCTTCCAAATCAGGAGGTTATCGCCTCTTCAGCACTTATTCCAGGCAATCTTCTGAGATGAAGCAGAGTGGCTTAGGTACTGTACCTGACCTGTAACCAGACTGTTCCTCTGTGTTTCTGTGGGCATCCTTCTGTCTCTCCACATACACATCTGGCTTAAGTTCCTTGTGTGTCTCTCTGTGTATTATGTCTTCTTGTAGTGTTATTGTTTAGACCACTGTAGAGACTATCTTATTGCATTTCCTTTTGTGTGTGATCTTCTCCTTCAGCTTCTAGCTACAGAAGATGCACTTTTCATCCTTTGTAGTATTGGAGCAGCAGAGCAAGCCGCGTACTTGCAGGCTGGCCTTCTGGGTCCACGTTGCTATCATTTGTTATACCATTTCTGAACGTAGGAGGAGGAGATGATTTTACATGAGAAATAGCATGCTTTCTGTTCTGCAAAAGAGTGGTTTACATGCAAAGCTGCTCTTCATGTGACACTACTGTATTTCTGCCTTTGCTTCATAAAGATCTCTTGTATGGAACAGATCTGTCATCTGCAATGGTGTTTGACAACTCTCTAGTTGACCTGGAATCCCTGATTAGCCATTCTTTGACTGGTAGCCAGCAGGAGAGAATAGTTTTGGGCATTTGGGGTTCTCTGCCTGTCCTTGAGAGTAGCATTCCCTGCCATCATAACCTAACCTATTTCTTAATAGTTGAAATTCTTCCTGAAATATTTTTGCTAAAGCAAGATCTATTTGGAAACTGAAAAGCTGTCTTTGCTGTTATGAAGTTTAAAGATAGCTGTGAAACCTAGATCTTGCAGATGACTAATAAGCACCAGGAGGTGGAAATGCCTAAGTTATGCCCACTTTCTTTTTCTTAAAAATAATTTTTGCATTATGGCCTGGCCGTAGACTTGCAGCAGTTCTGGCTTATCAGTTCTATACTCTGTTATGTGGACATCCTGCAGCCAAGAGATTTCTGAAAGGCCTGATCATTTCTTTGTCACTTTTGAATGAGCTGCTGCTTCTTACCAAGTGAAGGGAATTTTCTCCAGAGTGGTTAGGAAGTGTCTCTGGAGTCTGCCAGCTATCCTCCCAGCCAGCTGGAAAAATCTCAGAAGGAATGGCTGTTGCATATTATTTTCATAAAGGTACAGTAGCCGTGGCCATAGCGGGTTTTGGATGCGCTATTTCGTGTGGTGCATCTACTTCTGCTTTAACAGACCACCTGCAGGATTAAGTAAGCTGTAATAGACTGCCTTGCTTAGGCTGGAAGAAACCTGTGGTTATTCCATGAATCTGTGTGAGTCAATATGAGAATTTCTGAGATGGCACACAGTCAAGGAAGTGCATCTGCTTGGAAAATTACCGACTACATCAAATGCTACCTGGAAACTATTTTTGCTGTTTGGATGTCTGAGTACCAGAAAGCACATGCTCTGGAGAGCAGATACTGACAGCCTGTTTACTACAGCCTTTCCCAGGTGTCTGAGGAATGTCTGTTTTGGCAGTAGAGAAGACTATCGCTCCACTGGACCCTCGCGCAGCACTACTTTTCCATGACAGCAACATTTGAAATGTGATACCAGCAGGTTTGATTTCAGGTGCTTGCCTGATGTGCCTCACTGGGAAGCCTGTGCTGGTCACTCTCCCCGCTGAGAAGCTCTGCAGAGACCAAACTTTGAGTAGGAATGGATAGAGCTGGTCTGTGGCAGTAGATCTCTGGCTGCAGACCCAGTCCAGCCATCGTTCTTCTCCATAGGGTCTTGCAGCTGTGGGCACAGAATGGCTGAGCAGGAGAGACCAACAAATGGTGTGACACCAGATTTCACAATCACAGGTTATTAGGATGTCTGTGTTTCTGCAAATTTCTCTTAACCTGAGAATTGTTAAGAAGAATGATGCCTCTTTACCTGTAAAAGTCAAACTCTTAAAGGAATCTTTCCGATTCCTTTCCTGCTTGTTTTGTAGAAATGTAGTTTCTTCCTCCTTTAGGATCTGAAATGTGCTTTCCCTGTGAGATATAATATAGAACTCATGGGAGCTTGAACTTTGCCTTTAATGCTTGTCTCAGCAGCTGTGCTATGAGGGGGTTCATTCAGAGACTATCTGCTGTTTCTGAGCTCTTCTGTCTCCCATGGCCTCACCTTGTCAGTGGCTGGCTCTTGTTACCTCTGGGAGAAGGACTGTTCAGGTGTAACCTCCTATGCTTAGGATGCAGGAATGGGAAGCAGGACAGAGTTTCCATAATAACCCTGCTGCCATACCTGCCAGAGTTGTGTCTTTACTGTAGTTTAAAATATGCCTTGAAATGTCTGGAAAAGGGGCAGGCTGCAGCTTGCTTTGTGTATGCAAAGTGGTGCTTTGGAGTTTGCCATGTTTCCTGGGCAGGAGCAAGTGCTTCCTTGTGGATTGTCTGCACTAGTGTGCACACTTCTAGCCTGAGAAGCCATGGGAACCCTCAGCGCCTTTCTTTGCTTGCAAGAGCACTTCAAAATGGGGTCGAATCACTCCCTGCTGTTGGAGCAGTAGAGGTGTGTATTGCCATTGGGCAGGAAGCTTTGTGCTGAGACTCACATGGGGAAATAAGGGATGTCCATTTCTTAAACATCTGCAACATTGAATGTACATCTGAAAATCAAATACACAAAAGAGATCTAGCACATACAATAATTTCTAGCAAATGTTGCTATAGCTTAAATCTAAATAGCTTGTATACCGTTGTGTTCTTTAGAATGTGTGTGTGCTGTGGTGGTCTCCTAGAGTTCACTGCAGACAATTGCTGTTGTCTATAGGGTCATCTTTGTAAATTCTCCTCTGGCTTAAGGGTGCTGACAAAATGCCTCTGTCTGCTGTAGGGCAGCAGAAACACTGGGGTGTCCTTAGTTTAATGGTTAGTGGCACGAGGTTGCTCAAGATAGAAAGTCATAAAAATCTTCTGTTCCATTTTTGTCTGCCAGTAAATGAGTCTGTTGGCATTTTTTTCATTGTTTTTGATTGTTTTTAAGCCATGGAAGGTTGATCAGGAGCATCATCCTGGCTGCAAAATTTTCTTTGCATTCTGATAGATTCCAGTTCATGCTGAATCAGCACTGAGCTCCAATTTAAGGTATTAGGGGGAAATTGTCTAAGACTTGTCCAAAGACAGGTATGTGCTAGTCTGCCTTGTGGAGAGCTACCAGCACTGTCACAGTGGTGGAACAGCTTAAATTTAGTGCATGTGAGAACGGTTTCGGTCATCCCTTACCACCCCCAGGAGCATATACCATCAGCTCAGTCTGAGCTTATATGTAAATAGCTCAAAACTCAGGATCTGTGTGTTTTCTCCAAAGAAGCTCTGGCTAAAAAAGAGCTTTGTTCAGGACAGAAGCTGTGGGGAGTGGAGAACTTGATGCTGGTCAGCCACCTAAATGGGAGATTACAGGGAAGACAGAGATGGACTGTCCTCCAAGGCAGGTGGTGATAGAACGAGAACCAACAGACACAAGTTGCCACATGGGAAATGCCAGTTAGCTTGGAGGAATAAGTTTTTCACCATGAATGTGCCAGATACTGGAGCAGGGACCTAGAGAGGTTGTGAAATCTCCTTTCTTGGAAGTATTCAGAACTTGACTGGACAAACCCTAGCAAGCTGGTTCAAGTTGGCCCTGCTGGGGCGTTGGGAAAGAAGCCTCCAGAGGTTCCTTCCAACCCAAATCATGCTATGATGCTATATGTTAGGATCAAGAGCTGCTTGCAATAGGCAGGATCTTTTTAACAGTAGTAACAGTTGCGCTGTTCCAGTTAAATACTAATAGAAAGCACGTCAGGTTTTTTGCCTTGGCAGAGAAGGCAGAACAAGATCAACCTGCTTGTTTCTGGAAGCCTTTTGTGCGTGGGAATAATGTTGGTTTTAGCCCTTGGTATTCTCAGTACAGAATACAGCATCAGGACTGTTTAGCAGAGAATTTATAGCTAATCAGTGGCTTTATCTGGCCCATAGTAAGGTTTTGTCTGGCTGACAATTGCTTTCCTCAGTTGAAAGAATCCTGTTTCAAATGCCCAATGTTCCTTAAATATCACATAAGTACAAGGCACTCTACAGAACACTGCCTTTGAGAAGCAAACACCAGCAGTTGCCAAAGCCACCGGTGTTAGGTTGCCCTCCTCTGTATGAGGCTGTCTTGGTGCCATGTTCCTCGCCACAGGGAGAGCAAAGTGCCTTGTGTGTGCACAGCGGGTGCTGTGCAAGGGTGGTTCGTGGACCTGTTCTGGAGGAGCAAGACATGACCAAGTGAATGTGAAATATCTTCTGGGCAGCCCCTTGTGAAAGAGAGCTCTCTGGTGACATTGCTTTCCTCGCTGCCTGACAGAGTGATTAATGCACATTTGCTGATCAACAGGTCAGGCGGTCCTTTCTTCTTCTCAGTGTCCTACAGAAAAAGGAGCTTTCCAGGGAGAAAGGGCAGAAGAGCAGAGAAATTAAACCCTTCATGAACATCAGTGATTTGGCATCCTGGCTTTTCTCACATGACTGTGTACATTTGCTAACTGGAGAGCGTCGAGGCATTTTTCCTAGGTCAGGGCAAGAAATCCAAATGGAAATAAACCTCTGGACAGAGTCAGGAACTTTACTGGTGCTGAGTTTTGGGCTACCTGCTGTGCATTTGGCACTACTGAATTTAGAATTGGGAATACTGCCTCCCCACGCTCCCTGGCATCATGTGTTTTCCTGAGACTACCTGCGAAGTGGGCAGTTCATTCCTCATTCTTTGACTAACCCTGCTTTTCTGTAGCTGCATGCGGTGGAGATGTAATACTAACAACTTCCATGCCTTTCCAGGGTCACAATGCACCGGCCTGTTTAGCACCACTGTGCTGGGAGGCTCCTCCAGTGCCCCCAACCTCCAGGACTACGCACGCAGCCATGGCAAAAAGTTTGCCAGCAGCCTGACATACAAAGACGGTATGTGTGTTCCTGTGCAGCAGGTGGTGAATTTGTGGACTTTGGTGTCTCAGGATGCTATTGAGACAAAGCCTTAGACTGCAAGAAGAGTGACAGCTGAATGTGTATATTCCTTGCATCTACAGTAATGCATTTTATCATATCCCAAGAAACTGTGATCCTTGCTAGGACAAGACAAGAGCTGAGATTGTGCAAGGAGTTTTATGCTGATATATGGTATTGCTGTGGTCTGATTTTGCTCTGACATTTTAATACTACTCGCTGTTGTGGAGGAGGATTTATTGGTCTAGATATTAAATAGGTTTGTCCTGGTGTGGAAATCCAGCACATCACATCGCCTTGCTTACTGTGGTGATCTTGCTGATGCTGAATGAAGCTTTTGTGGAGACAGTAATCCTCACCCTACAGAAGACAGCCATCCCAGAGGCAGAATGGTGTGCTTGGGCGTGGGTAAGATGGGTACTAGAGTAAGGTTGGGCAAGATAATCTGGTAAAATCTGTTTGGGTCAGTAGTGTAAGTGATGCCCGATGCAGGGGGGTGAAGGGGTGTTGCTGGCTGCAGATGGGTCTGCAGTCAGTGTGGTCCGTTGTGCCTTGGGAAGCAGAGAGTGTCGCTACTTTCAAGGAAGTTGGAACCCAGGGCAAGACTGGGGTATCCCAGAGGAGCTGCAGGGGTGTAATGCGCAAGTGCCAGTGTCCACTGTGACCCCAATGAGAGAGGCTCTCAGGTTCTCTGAGTGCTGAGTAATGTACCATTTGTTGGGACGCTGAGTCAAGCGGCATTGAAAAAACCTCTCCATGGGGAGGATCTGCACAGTGTGCTGTGTCCTGGTTGGAAATCCATCTAAAGTTGCACAACTCAGGCTTCTCAGCATCTGAATGGGTGTAAGATTATCTGTTCTCTCTTTCTCCTTTTTGTGTTAGTTCCAAAAAATGGTATTTTGCTCAGTTTTTACAGTCTGAGTGTCTTTCTTAGCAGGATCATAATGAACACTAACAGTGATGCATTAAAAGGTGGGGAGATGATTAAGGCAGTAATTTGGGGCCTTTGGGGAAAACAGGAGGTTGGTTCATTTGGATTTCTGTCCAGTTTTGAGACAAGGAAAATGGCCGAGCAAATCAGGGTGGAAAGATGCTGTGCAATTTTCTGACCTGTGGGAACCTCAGGAATGCTGCTGCATTGAGACTGTTACATAGACTCCCTTGCTCTGCTGCTTTCACTGTGTAGGAGAAATCTGTGCTGCTTCTCCCCTCTTCAGGGAGCTCCCTGGCACACAACAGGCAGGAAGGGTGAACCAGGAGGATTTAAACCCTGCTGTGCCAGTTTGAGCCGCTCACAGCAGCGAGCGCAGGCTGCTCACAGGTCCCAGAACAGGCTGGTGGTGTCTTGGCACAGGACGGGGTGTGAAGACCAGGGGAGCCACTGGAAAGGTGAGCCAGGGCTCTGGCTGCTTTCCTCCCCTAAGCCTGCAGGCAGCGTGGATCCAAGGCAGCTCTGGTTCTCGGGGAGAAGCATCAAAGACTCCTGCTGTGTACCCAACTGGGAACAGAGGAGGGCCCGCTCCCCCGGTGCTGGGCTCCTTTCCCTGCAGGCCGTCAGTAGGAGTGTGCCTGCAACTGGCCATGTGTGTTGGGGGTCCAGAGGAGGGTCCTGCCTCAATTCAGTGAGAAGGTCTCTGCATGCTGAGATGCAGCTGTACCCTCAAGTACTTAAAAGGCAGATTTATTTAGCTGGTGTTTGAATAACAGAATTATTCATCTCCATGTTACACTACTTCTCGTGTGTTTCCTAGGGTGCTGTGGCACCCTGTGCTACTGGCACCCTGCTGCAATAAGAGCAATTGTGAGGAAGAAGCAGGGGCTTGCAAAAACAAGTAGGAGTCAGAGGGGCATTTTGCTTCTGGGGAAGGTAGTTTGGAATGTGAAATAAGCCCTTGATCTGCATGTTCCTGCTTAAATGAGCACCAATGAATGCTGAATGATGGCATTTAAACCAAACATCATTAGAACCGAGTACAGTGACGCAGCAACTACAGCAGACTCTTGGAATATGCTTGTATCAAGGCCTTTTCCACAGTCATCAGGCTAATAATGTTTTAAAACCTTCAGATTCTGAAGCACATCTTTGCATGAACTCTGATATTTTTTCATGGCTGTGACGCTTCAAGGTGTGGTGCATGGCTTATAGCACTTCATCAGAGAATTGCTCAAGAGAAGTTAAAATGGACCTTATTTCTGAAGTCTATTTTGCTTGGGGCTGGAGGAGGGCTAAGGAAGGTTTTGGTGGAAAGTTGTGTCCCAGGCTCAGGTTGTGGGAAGGTCCACTGGTGGCTGTGATTTGAGGCTGCCTTGTGTGAAGCCAGGGGTGCAGCAAGCCGTGTTGCAGCACCATGTAAATGTATGCTGTAAAGGCAGGGGGATACATCGGGTGGAATGGAGATGGTACCAGCTGGCTGGCTGCAGCTCTAGGACTTGGATGTTCTTAGGGGTTGCATGTATAGGGCAGACTGCCACACTCTATTTGTTGAGAAGAACCATTCTTTGAGAAAGAAGAACCATTTTTAAGGCTGTTATGCTGGTAGAAATTGCAGGAAATTGCAGCAAGTTGGTTTAAGTATATTAATTGGCCAAGTCAGTGGATGTAGCTAGAGAAACACAATGGAGGTATGGAACATAAATTGATACGCGTATCTCCCAACCAATAGTGGGGCAGGTATACAGACTAGATAGAACGGCCACATGAAACATGAAAGAGGAATAAAAACATTTTCTAATATTTCCTAAAAGTTCCTAAATAACAGCAAAGGGTATGATTGGCTGGGGTCTTACATCAAATACTACATACATGTGCTCTGATCTAGGCTGAGGAGTTTCCAGAGTGGGAATAAACTGAAGTTGTCAAATTTTTTTTTTTTTTCCATTTTGATGCACATGGAGACTAATCCATGTCTTTTAAAGGTCATCTCTTTGCAACCCAGTAGATGCCTGGAGTCTCTCCTTGCACTGTGTTTCTGATGTGTGATTTCCATGGGAGAGCTTGGCCAGGCCTGGGACAGGGCCAAGAGAAGCCCGAGGACCCGTCTGATGGGTGCACCCCAAAACCTCTTCTCTGCTGAAAAGCTTTGAGCAATAGAACTGTAGAATGTCTTCATGGATCTTCTCTTTGTTACCTCATTTGTTAGTTGATTTGGCTTCAAACTTAAAAATAGCTCTGTTTAGCTTGCATCAAGAGGATGTTTTGAGCTGTGCTTACCTATGCCAGGGCTCTTCAGTTCCTTGCAGAAGGGTTGTTGTTTTCCCCGGGCAGGGGTGACATCCCAGAGCTGTGCTGTGCCTATGGCCGTGAGTGTTGCCCGGCTGTATCTCACACTGGGCTGAGCCTGGGTCGCTCTCGGGGTGGGGAGGAATGAGGTTCTGACTGCAGCTGAGTCTTTGCAGCGTGAGGGGAGGCCCCGGCGGGGCAGCTCCAGGGAAGGGGGAGCCACAGAGTGCGAGGAAGCTGAGGGGTTTGGTCGGACCCGCAGCAGCACTGATGGGAGCACGTGTTGTGGGGGTCAGGATGAAGGTGAATCTGAAAAGGTAGTTGCAGCATATGAAGGTCGGGGATCCTTGGAAGCCGGCTGTTAACTGAGATGATCTGTTTTTATTTCCTCAGAGCTCTTGTCTATGCCAGCCGTAAAACGATTTTCTGTGTCGTTTGCAAAGCATCCGACTAATGGTACGTTTGCTTCCTTGATTTGACGTTCCCTCACACTTCTAACCCTGTGCTCACATTCAGTTCTCTCTGCACATATTTCCCTCTCAGCCTTCTTGTGGTTTTTTTTGTGTCTGTGTATCTGGTGTTCAAACATGCTTCACCTTCCCCCATTGTCTCCTTGTGACTAACTTGTTCATTCATCCTCTTTTTTTTTTTTTTCCATTTTGATGCACATGGAGACTAATCCATGTCTTTTAAAGGTCATCTCTTTGCAACCCAGTAGATGCCTGGAGTCTCTCCTTGCACTGTGTTTCTGATGTGTGATTTCCATGGGAGAGCTTGGCCAGGCCTGGGACAGGGCCAAGAGAAGCCCGAGGACCCGTCTGATGGGTGCACCCCAAAACCTCTTCTCTGCTGAAAAGCTTTGAGCAATAGAACTGTAGAATGTCTTCATGGATCTTCTCTTTGTTACCTCATTTGTTAGTTGATTTGGCTTCAAACTTAAAAATAGCTCTGTTTAGCTTGCATCAAGAGGATGTTTTGAGCTGTGCTTACCTATGCCAGGGCTCTTCAGTTCCTTGCAGAAGGGTTGTTGTTTTCCCCGGGCAGGGGTGACATCCCAGAGCTGTGCTGTGCCTATGGCCGTGAGTGTTGCCCGGCTGTATCTCACACTGGGCTGAGCCTGGGTCGCTCTCGGGGTGGGGAGGAATGAGGTTCTGACTGCAGCTGAGTCTTTGCAGCGTGAGGGGAGGCCCCGGCGGGGCAGCTCCAGGGAAGGGGGAGCCACAGAGTGCGAGGAAGCTGAGGGGTTTGGTCGGACCCGCAGCAGCACTGATGGGAGCACGTGTTGTGGGGGTCAGGATGAAGGTGAATCTGAAAAGGTAGTTGCAGCATATGAAGGTCGGGGATCCTTAGAAGCAGGCTGTTAACTGAGATGATCTGTTTTTATTTCCTCAGAGCTCTTGTCTATGCCAGCCGTAAAACGATTTTCTGTGTCGTTTGCAAAGCATCCGACTAATGGTACGTTTGCTTCCTTGATTTGACGTTCCCTCACACTTCTAACCCTGTGCTCACATTCAGTTCTCTCTGCACATATTTCCCTCTCAGCCTTCTTGTGGTTTTTTTTGTGTCTGTGTATCTGGTGTTCAAACATGCTTCACCTTCCCCCATTGTCTCCTTGTGACTAACTTGTTCATTCATCCTCTGTAACTGCTCAGTGGTTCCTCTGCTGTTCCCCAAGGCATTTGTGTCCCAGATGAAAAAGCAAGAGCAGTGGCTCTGTGAACGGACTCCTAAAGCAGCCTTTAATTCCACTGCTAACATTAGGGACCTCTTTCACGCTCCCTTATTGGGGGTGGGGGTCATGGGGGAGAATACCTTCAGATTTGGGGTGGGGGATATCCACTCCATGTTCTGTAAGAGCATCAGCAGCTCAGGTCCTCAGTTTGTACAATGCAGATTTGCAGGAGCAAGACAGGGATAACCCGAGGTTATCCCTGTGTCACCTGGAGTGGTCTGTGGTGGGAGAGGAGGCTGTGCTGACAGTGTTCTCTCTGCCATGCTGTTCCTCAGCACAGTCCTCTTAGGAGTACCCGTGGCTGCAGGGCCTCCTATTTGAGCCTTGTCTGTTAGGATGGTCCCCTGCTCATTCCAGGCATGGTGGTGTTGGTGGGAGCAGGCTCACCTTTCCTGCATTCCTGGGAATGGTGTCTCTCCGGAACATTCAGTCATCAGCTGTTGGTGGACAGTGCTGCCTTCCTGAGGTAGGAGGGTTCGGCACCGTGCCCCCCAGGTGGTGTAACCTGCCTCACTCCTCTCATCCTGGTAGCTGTGAAGAGGCTTGGTAAAGGACATCTGACATTGCTTGTGTTTGCTCACTGTCTGCTTCATATTGCCACTAACCTGACACCTGAACTGTGAGTCTTTAGAGGTCAAAGACCAATAGCTCTGTTGTAGCAGATGCCTTGAACTAGTGTTTATTATTCCAAGTCTTGCACAGAAACTTGTGAAAAGGTTTGTCTCGCAGCACCACTCCTACCTCATGGCTCCTGCTGTTGAGACAAGTTAGAACCAAAGCAGATCATTGAAGGATGCCAGGTTAAGTGTTTCTGTCTTATGTGATCAAGGCTGCTTCTGCAATCTTGTTGCATAGTAAATATGAAGATATTCTGCTCTGCGTGATCCGGAAGATGAAAGAAGGTCAGAAGACTCTTATGAAGACCAAAGTTTTGGGAAAGATGAAAGGGAAAGGGCAGCTAAAAGTGGCTTTATTATTTCAAAGCTCTGAAGGGAAACTGTTTTCTGTGCTTGCTCAGTTTTGTTTTTCCCAGAGTGGCCAACTGCTCAATTTGTTTGTGTGTCTGGATGCCATCTGAACTCACGTGGTGTATGTTAGCAGGATGTGTTGTTCTATCTTGCCTGCAGAACCCCAGCACCAGTCTGTCCTAAGCCACACCGTAAAGCAACTGCCCCTGCCCCAAATGCAATAAAGTGAAACTGGGCATCAGGTTTTTCCCAAGAACCAATCAATATTTCTAATGACAAAGTGCTTCTTTATCAAGAAAACACAGACAGAGGTCTAGGAGGTGTGAGCTTGAAGTTAGGCATGTTTCGTCTAAGCTTGGCACTGGTTTTTGCAGGAAGGAAGTTTAGCCACATCAGCCACTTGCCTGAGGATGCTAAAGCTGTTCACAGCTCCGAGTCTGCATTTTGTTTCTGAAGACCCACCTCTGTGTGGCGAAATCGGATGCGTGAGCCAGAGCAGTGGCCAAGCACAGCGTCAGGCCGGGTGCTTTATGCCCTGGTCTTGTGAGTCTTGGGAGCGTGACATGAGTCCCGAGGCTGAATACATGGAGGAGAAGATGTGCCTGCGTGCTGGGATCTTGCCTGCCATGCAAGGATGTCACAGAAGATGTCACGGGGCTGTTCTGAGAGTCTGTAGTGGGGAGGTCAGCACTTCTGTGCCCCCTCTGTTCTTGCACGCTCTGAGCGCTGTGTTCTCAGTGGGACCCTGCCGTCCCCAGCGTCCCTTTCACAGCCTCCAGTCTGATGCCGTGTCCTTCACTCTCGCCCATGTGCTGGGGTGTCTGGCTGCGTTTGGGCACAGGGCTCTGCTCTTTCAGCAGTCTGGATTTCTTGTCTCAGCTTGGGGAGGGCAAGTGTGGGCCTGACCTTATCTAGCCAAACCTGAGCCTGGGATTGGAACGTGTCCTCAAATGTATTCTCTTGCCAGGTGTTCACTCACAAAGGTGGAGCTTCACTGCCCAGGGACTGCCCCTTTGGCAGAGGCTGGCCTGGGCGGGTGACCTGGCAGAGACAGGGGCTGTGAAGGTCCAAGGGCATCCCCGACCCGCTCGCTGCGGGAGGGATGGGGCTGCAGCCTGTGGCGTGGGTCCTGCCCACCTGGCAGCCCTGGTGCCGGCAGCTCCATCCCCTCATCTCCACAATTTCTCTGTCCCCAGCTGCAGCTGCCCTGCTCCTCTCACTCTTTGTGGCCCCCTTTCCTCCAGATGCGTTTGAGCACCACCACGTTGCCCAGTTGCTGCGCCGTTTTTCCTCTGACTATGCCACGGGCCGGAACATCTGCCTGGATGCCGCTCTAGCCCATCACCTCCAGCAGTGCTCCTACCACCTGCGCCTCTTCAGGAGCTGGCTGATCTCAGGGCAGGAGGACTTGGAGTGTCTTTACGGTACTGCACGCTGCAGCTGCCTTGGTCCCCTGCTCTTGTAGCTGAGCAGGGACCACTGTCTGCTTGAGAATGCAAAGTATGCTTTGCTTCTAAAAAAGGAAAGCATTTCCCTCACCGCATCCCTTAAATCTCCAGGCTGCTGCTGCAGCAAGCTGTGTGGGCTGTCGCACTGGCGGTTTTGGAGCCTTGGGCAGTAGCCATTCCACACAGAGCCAGTACCCTTCGTGTGGCTGTAGCTGTAGCTGTGCTCTCTCCATCTTTGGCAATTGTTAGTTGCCTCCTTCCTTTAGCCAGGGTAAGCCCTTCCCTGGGGTTAGGTGCTGAGCTCCTACTGATGTGGTGCCCTGCTGACACGACACCCCTGTGCAGGTCTCAGTGGGTGCTGGAGGTGTCCCGTTATTAGTGGAGGAGCCAAAGTGTAAGAGTATGGGGAGAGAGAAGATGCAGGAGGTGCCGCAGCGGGTCACACGCAGAGTGAACTTGCTGTGGAAATTTGGGGGAAGCAAGTGCTTGTGTGGTTGCATTGTTTCTAGAGAGACCAAGTTAAAAGAGGGTAGAAACTGAGCTTTTGTGTGGCTGCACTGCATGGCATCTGTTCTGCCAGTTAGGTCTTTGCAGTGTGTCATGTCTCTGGTGGGAAGAGGTAGACAATGTCAGTATTGAATCCAGATGTTATAAATCAAAGCTTGCTGCTGTTTCTCTGATCTGTTTCAGCCTCTGGCACAGTCTGATGCACTGAGGTCTCAGTGCATCTAAGATAAGTGGAAGGATTCCTCTGAGAGGGGCAGCTCGCTGGGGCTGGCTGTTCATGTCTGCCTCGCACCATAACACCTGCTGGGTGCATGTGGCTTGCTGAGCTGTGTGGTGTGCTGCATGGACCACCTTTCTCACTCAGAGCCGTAGGTGGAAGGGGCAGAGACAGTACAGCTTCTCGGGTAGTGAAGCAACAGGATCAGGCATTTTCAGAGCCCAGAAGAGAGAATTTTTCTCTCAGTCTGTTTTTTCTTGATATGGCCCTTTCTGTCAAGTAGGCAATTTGGAGATGGCAGTTGCTTTTCATATATAATTAGGACAATCCTTGGTCTCTTAGCAACGAATACTAAAAAGGAGCAAACTTGCTTCAAGGGAAGAGATGCTGGAACAGAGCAGACTGCTCCAAAGCCAAAGCTGAGCTTCCGCTGCTGCAGATCTCAGCCATCTCCCATAAGCTCCGTAGGGAGATGAAATGAACTTGGTGCTTTGGGCAGTCATACGCCAAATATTGCAGCACAGTGCTGGTGGTGCCGCCTGCCCCAACGCACCAAACCTACGAGACGTGTACCTCCATGCAGCAGCCTTCCTGCGTGGAACCCAGGTCTCTGCAATCAGTCAGTTCTTTCTTGCTTGTTTTCTCAGTCTGTCATCAAGCCCACAGTTAATTAGCGTGTTTGGGATTCCTGCTGGGGGTTAGTCTCAGAGCAGACATGTCTCCGGTCTCTGTAGCCACCAGCCCAACTTCCCTCCTTGTGACAATTACATACTCCTCTCTTTCTTGCCTTTCAACTGTACTTCTATCCACACAAAGAAAAGATGAATTAAGAGAGACTCGGGGAGTTGAAAGTGTGCAGCTGGCACCCATAGTTGGAAAGATCAATGATGGAGCCCTGAAGCAATCTGCCTGGGAACCTGTGCTTATCTGTGTGGTCATGGCTGGGAAAGAGAAGAGAAAATTTCAATGACAAGGGGAAACAGCCTCAAATTGATATCTAAAATGCTGGGCTCTGATCTGACCATCACCATTTGGCATGATCTGGAAAAGGTAGAAATTTGCAGTCTGGGAGAGATGTTTGTGATAGTGGCTGGAGAGCGGTGGTGGGGATCTGCAGTTCAGTGTCTGTTCCAGGATGGAGCTAGGAGGTTTTTAATGGAGTGAGTTAGAGGCAGCTGCAGACAGAATTGATTTTTCCACACAGAGTGAAACTCTTCACTGTGGTACGTGGGGGTGTTGGAGCTTAACTGAGTTCAAGGGGAGACTGGAGAACGTGGATGAGACAGATGAGGGTCAGAGTAGTTCTGAGCTGCAGGTCGCTGGAGTTTGGGGGCTGCCTGGAGGAAGAGTCACCACATGCTGTCTGGTCTCATACCCCTTCATTCGCAGCCACTTCTGGCACTGTGAGCAGAGAGGTGCTGGACTAGGATAGACCTTCAGTCTGGCTCTACAGGATTGAATTTAGGAAGGCTGGGTAGCAAAAGTCCTAGTTCATGTACATATCCTGTGTGCATTTATAAACAAAATAAATATAAACAAATATAAACAAATACATCTGTGGCATATTGGAGTTCTCCCCACAAAAAAAGGCTGGACTGACCAAGTGTGTTGGAGAGGAACTTGCTGAGTGTGCTTTCTCCCTGTGCTTCCTTCAGAATCTGTGCTGAGACTGGGCAAGTGCTGCTTCACTCCAGAGAGCTGACATACAGACCTTTGGCGTACAGGCAATTTGGGATGTGCCTGCTGCCTTGGTCTGCCTGTTGCTTTCGGGATCTCCATTGGAAAGGAACAGGCACCTTCTGCACTGTAGTGTAGAACTCGCAGCCGGAGAGCTGGGTAGTGACTCGGCAACTTCTGCTCATCCCTCATGTGTAGTAATGTTCAGAACTCTCAGGCAAAAATACAGCACACAAAAATGATTGCTTTGGACCAGAAAGACTTCTCGCCTTCTCCTTGGCATCTGTCTTTGTCTGTTAGCTGACAGCAGTTTGGCTGCTTTCTGCTTGTGAGCCTGCTGCAGCAGCAAGTGCCTTCTCTTTGAACAAGCCCACTCTGCCAGCAGAGAAGCTTTGCCTTATTTGGGACCTCAGCTCAATCTTGGTAAAGCTGAGGAACACGCCATTTGGACTGCTTGAAGATTGCTCCTTTGTTGTGCCCACTGGCCAGGAGGTCTGCTGGCTCCCAGGTGATCTGTGGAATGACCAGCTCTGAGGGATAATCCCACCGGCACTGACTTCAATCCGGGGGTGCATGTGTTACATACGAACTCAGCTTTCCCAGCTCATACTGTATACTTCTTGGCTCTCTGGGGCATACTGAGAATTTAGGAAACTTTGTGTTACCTTGATTCAAATTTGATGCTTCCTCTTAATGAAATGGTATTGCTTCTCAAGGGTTTATAGAATGGGACATCTCCTGCAGTAATCAAGAAGGTGCAAATGAATTCAAGGTCTTGTTTTCTCCCTTGTTCTTCCTTTTCCCAGTATAAAAATCTGCCTTTTTTACTTCTGCTGCTAACACCTTTGGTTGAATTTTCTTTAAGACCTCAGCATGACTGAAGAAAATATAGCTAAACGGATGGAAGTAGCTGTTACATCTGCAGTGAAAGAGCAATAGGGTAGCCCAGCACAAAGGGTTCACTCAGAGGTCTGTAACATATTTGCTTGGTGTTCAAGCCATGTAATCATAAAGTAGGTGTTGGCTATTTCAGAATTCATCATTGTGTGGTTCAGGTAAAAAGGTGGCACTTCTGGACTCTTTCTTTGAGGTCATCTGCTAAGAGTTAGCTGTTAACAAGTACTGTGTTCCTCCTGACTGCTGGAGTCTCCCGGAAGTCTGGGATTCTCTGGTTTGGACAGAAGATGTGAGTTGGGTGCAGGTTTGCATTTGCTTTTTATGGTAGAGTGTCTAGATGATCTCTGCAAAAGGGTCCTTATACCCAAATCACCTTCTTAATATCTGATGAAGCATTGTGTGTCAGTATTGGCAGCTCTGAAACAATCTTACTCTAAGGGGAGAGTCACTCCCTGCTTGAACATCTGGAGGACTTCTTTATAAACTGTGATTATGCTGAGTAGACTCTGCAGTGGCCAGTAAAGTGGGCAGATGTCGAGAATGTGAAGCTCTGGGGAGAAGAGCTCAAATGGACAGAGTTAACTCGGCTGTGACAGGGGTGGACCTTCAGATTTGGCATCAGCACACCTGGGATTGACGAAGCAGGACTTGCTGTCCTCTAGCTGGATGGCACCTCCGCTGCTGTCACCTGCGGAGTGGCTCTTCAGGCAGTTCCATCCTCTCTGCTGCTGTGTCAGGATGCTGCTGCATTATTGATTCAGAGCAGAGATTCAACCATAGCTGCTCCCCCACATCACGCAGTCTCCTTGGACATCCAAAATAATACATGCTCAGCAGACTCCACTGCCTTCTCTGTCTTAAGGTTTTTCCCATAACCAAAGCTTGTTTTCTTGACTCTAACAGATGGTTTCTTCCTATTTTAAGGAACAAAATTTTGGAGACTTAACCATGCTGTACTCCTTGCCGGGAGAAGTTTACAGCTGACTCTGGGATTCATTTCTAGCTGCTCTGGTCTGCAGACCCCAGCCCTGTGCTCTCCCTGCAGGGCAGGTCTCACTCTGGGGGAGGCAGAGTGCCCTCTGCACCCCTGAGGTAGCTGCTGTAGTCACAGAATCACAGAATATTCTTGGTTGGAAGGGACCTCTGAGATCATTGAGTCCAACCACAAAAAAAACAACCAAACAAACAATCAACTGAAAAGTGACACTTGTTCCTCTGTGTGCTGCTGTTTGACTTTGGTACCAAATGAATGGAATGCTGTCTAGTTTCTTGTGCTGTCATCTGCATCACAGACTCCTGTCCGGCAGGTGCCAGGAGGAGCTTCGGGCGGCAGCAGCAATAGCCGAGTGGTCAGGCTGGGAAGGTTCCTGTGGTTTGCAATCATGATTTATTTTTGTTGTCCCTTCCCAAAGATGTTGGTCCTTTGCTAAATGTGCAGCAGTGGTCAGAGCCTTTGCTGGGGACTCTGGCTGTTGCTGGGGTTCATGGCAGGATGTCAGTCTGTAGCAGTAGCTTCTGCCTTGTGTGGAATGAGGCTGCCACTGTTGGCCTCTGCCCAACAGCCAGGCAGGTCAGGGGAGGCGTGCAGGGAGAGGGCTGCTGTACACAAATGAGAGGGATGCCTTGAAAACAGTAGTGCTTCACCTTGAGAAGGTGAACTTCTGTTTTTTCTGTATTTGCTTGAGACCGGTCAGGTTGAGGCAGTGCTGAGCAGAGCTGTGCAAGCGGGCGTTTGGCACCCAGGGCTATAGGTGTGTCATTTCGCATCAGTAGCATTCAGTGTTCCATGTTTCCTTTAGAGCTGGACCTTTCATTTCCTCTTTCTATTAGAGGAGTGCCCAAGCACTCAGATCCCCATTGGTGCCTCCAGTGTATCTTGTAACTACATTGCTTTGCCCTGTTATATTCAAACTTCTTCCCTTTTTCTTTGAAGGTCCCAATAGCTGAGCCAACTTTGGCCCTCTTGGAAGCAGATTCTGTTGTGAAATGACCTTAGCCTCATACTATGCTGCTCCATGATCATCTCCAAGTGCCTGTTCGTTAAGTCTTGCCCTTAAGTCACCCTTTTCCTTTAGCTTTGTCTCCCAGAATGTCTATTATAAAATAATGAACAGGTTCTCTTCCTTATTCAGCACTTCCACTCTAAGGGCTTCTCAGCAAGTGTCAGGAGAGTGTGGTACTTGTTCTGTGTCTTACATTCCTTTGACCTAGCCAAGGATTTGTTGTCCTTCATGTCTTGAGCTGATGTTTCGAGGCCCTTTGTGGCATAGGTAACCTCTCTGGACTGTCTGGAGAATTCTTTGTCACCAGTAGCTGTTATGGCAATGAATGTCTTTGCAGTTTTGCAAACTGGTGATGATCTGGTCTGCAGCCTCCTCACATTGCATGTGGATTCACTCTGAATACCATCTGCTGGCTCATGCTCCTTGCCCCCTGCAGATTGGGGTTAGATGAGTGGGTTGGAGCAGAGACTGTCCTGGAGGTGACTGGAACAATGGCTACGCTTAGCAGATAACCCAGGTGCTCTGTGCCTTCTCCTTAGGTGCTGTCAGGCTGCAGGGATTGGTTTTACCCTGTCAGTGTGCTGGACAGCAACCCTGACACAGCAGTGCATAGAGAGCTCTTGTACTTTTTGCATTTCAAAGTAATTTTCCTTCTCTGTAAACAAACCCAATTCCTTCCCAGTGTCTTTTTGAGCTCCTCGGAAGGAGCTGGGGAGTCACAGAATGGGAAGCCTTCGCTGAAGAAGTTCAGAGGCCTATTAAACTCAAGATGCTCAGAGCAGGAGGCGGCCTCATTCCCATATGCCCAGAGACTGATTTGTTTCTTCCTTGCTCCTGTGGCAGTTTCGGTTGGCTTGGTGCCACAAAGCATTGCCAGGAAGCTGGGATGAAGAGGAAGATGCTTTGCTGTAATACTCTGCTGGCTTGAGTGGCAAAGAATTTATTGTGAATGGTTGTGACGCAGCTTAGCTCTGAGCAAGCGTCTGTTAAATGTCAAGATACCTATTTCTACTAATCCTGCATTTGCAGGCACTGAAGTCTTGTTAAGGGGACAAATAACTCAAGCTGTTGCCCAGCCCTTCCTTGGGGGGGGGGGGGGGTCGGCCAGGCACCCGCGGG